TTACATGTAAGGAATGACTGTCATATTTTTTTGTCTTTGAAAAAATAACATCAAAAATGTGGTGCACACTGAATAACCCGCGTAGCTGGTTATTTAAAAGTGTGCACCGCATTTTTTTGGGTTATTTCGAATAGACAGAACATATATTACAGTCGTTCCTTATAATGTAATTCTAAATTCCATTTAAAGGAGTAAATTTTGAAAAAAAACGTTGGTGACGTCACGGTCACATGACAAAACTATGTCTATGAGCTGATAGACATACATTTCAGCCAATCAGAAGACGTGTTACATCCAAAATTAAATTATTTCTTTATATTACAAGTGCATCACTGCTTGTGGTGCATTCAGCGGTTGGATGGTTTTATGACTTTATATTTTTAGTGATCAAATATCAAAATATCATAAATACAAAGTGTTTGTCGATCTTGAAAATTTCAATATGCAGTCCATAAATAACGATCGGAGGAAGGCTTTATTATCGTAACACACAAACTGTTTGAAGTCAATGTCTTTAGTACACTGACAAATTAAAAAAAGGCACGTGGTTTTAATCATTGCTCGTCCAAATTATACACGAGTATGCTCCAACACCTTGTTACCAAATACAATTGATATCGATTTCTACATACGGACAGTTCAGAGAGAAAACAATAGACGTTTAAAGAAAATGACTAATCAGCATTTTAGGAATCTAGATTTTGTATTATATTGTTTGTTTTACACCGTTTGTAAACAAAATGCACACTAGTATCCAGATAGTTAAAACAACCATTTGATTGAATGACTAGCATAAGATCGATACCGTTCCTGGTCCCTGAGAAATTGATCAGCTCAGTGGTCAGTGCTTCAACAACTGATTATTATAACATATCTTTTTTTTTTAATTTTCCGTCCATAAATTTACAAATTATGAAGAAACTAAGGTTGCAACTTCCTGAAGACCAAATATTCCCTTTTGGTCAGATAAAAATGTGCACATATAATGTAATGTATTCGAGTATTTATATATCTTCGGCTTTGTTTTTGTTTGTTTGTTTGAGCGGTCAAGGTGAAATAAATCTGGAAAAATGCTAAAGGCTTGGTAAATTTATAAAGTAGTATCTTCTCTTCTTCCAAATATTGTTGCAGGTCTAATTATGCAAATAACATAAGGTAATAAAATCCAAATTTTGAGTTTTCTTCCTTTCATCTTGGGGTTTTCGATTTCTTCACTCCATTTGGAACAGTTTACAAAAATGTGGTACAATTTCGAATGAGACCCCGATCAACCAGAGACAAAACGAAGAAAAAGTTAACATTGATAGGTCACCATACGACAACACCATCCAAAACTATAAAATTCTTCGTTGCATTTATTATCATTTTGTGAACTAAAGTTCTTATTTCCACTTATGTATTCAATTGTTTTCTGTATTTTGTGTTGAATATTTGTTTTCATTCTGTCTTATGCAAAATTATTTATTTTCAGCTCTTACAAGAATATTAATTATTGATATCCCCTTGCCATAAAATCAAATGGAACGCCAAAACTGTCTTGTTATGCCCATCTTCATTATATGATGTGCATTTACCTTTATATTATGTGCACTTGTCATTATATGATGTGCAAATATCCTTATATGATGTGCAAACATCCTTATATGACGTGCAAACATCATTATATGATGTGCAAACATCATTAATTGATGTGCAAACATACTTATATGATGTGCATATATACTTATATGATGTGCAAATATACTTATATGATGTGCAAACATTCTTATATTATATGCAAACATTCTTATATGATGTGCAAATATCCTTATCTGATGTGCAAATATACTTATATGATGTGCAAATGTACTTATATGATGTGCAAAGATCCTTATATGATGTGCAAATATACTTATATGATGTGCAAATATCCTTATATGATGTGCATTTTCCCTTATATTATGTGCAAACATCTTTATATGATGTGGTTGTGTCATTAAATTATGTGCTTGTAATCTTATAATCATGTGGTGTTCGGTTTACTTCATTTTATGATGTCGAAACGTCTTTATATGATGTGCTTTCATCGTCGTTATGGTCAATGAACATGATTACGATTAGAATGATTACTGTCTACGTCATAACTGATTCCATTCTGCTTCTGCGGAGTTACTATAATGCCGGCTCAAATCTGTAACTTTCGCTAGCGAAAGTGCATTTTAAAGAAAAAGTGAGTCAGTGCAATTTAACAAAAATCAACGTTTCAAACATTTCGGAGGAAGATTAAGATCAATTAATACAAGAGCTAGTTGAAGAATTTCCCGGCTGCGGCGAAAATATGATAAAACAAATTTTGGGGCCCTTTATAGCTTGCTGTTCGGTGTGAGCCAAGGCTCCGTGTTGAAGGCCGTTTTTTGACCTATAATTGTTTACTTTTTTCACACTGTGACTTGGATGTAGAGTTGTCTCATTGGCACTCATACCACATCTTCTTATTTCTATTCATTGCAAAAGACACCAATGACCTCAAATTCAGTTTTAAAAATATTTCATAACGATAGCTACAAAATCATCTACTTTTGCATAATTATACTGGTATGAATGATTGATTGATTGATTAATTTGTTGATTGATTGGTGTTTAACGCCACTTTCAACACTATCATGCTATTTCGTGGCGGTGATTTTTATTGGTGGAGGAAGCCGAAGTTCCCGGAGAAAACCACCGACCTACATGTACGGTAGGAAAACTGACAATTCTAGTCAATTAAGATTGGAGTGGAGCTTACCTGCCACGTGCGGGATTCGAACTCACAACCTAAGTGTTGACAGGCTAGTGATACAGTAATTCGACTACTTAGACCACTCGGCCACCGAACCCCCCCCCCCCCCCCCCCCCCCCGAAAGTGATTAAAGAAGATATGGGATGAAATTCAACTCGGTGCATTACATTTCCGTCCAGCTTTTCATTATGTTTTTCATGCATTTATTTCACAGCTTCAACTAGATGATTATGGATGGATGCTTGACGTCCAGCGTCAAATTGATATGCATATTCGTACGAGAACATGTTAATGTGATATGAATATTAAACCTGCTTTGTACTAGACCGACACCCTGAGCCGGATTTTAACATGCTAGTTCACAGGAAGACATGTCACTTTACCCAAACATATTATTCTGATTCCGAGCCGACCAGGCTTTGCTTTTACTCCTTAATTTCGCGTGCTTAGCAGGGAAGCAGCAAATATCTATTTTAAAGTCTTTGGTTTTGAACCGGAGTTCGAACCCACTACCTCCCGCACTCGAGGCGAACATGCTACCATGAAAGCACCGCCAATAGACAGTAACCCGTAATATAAAAGATTTCGTGGAAAGCCGCTCATATATACACCTCCAGACTCCAGTAAACAGGGCTAACGTACCGACCATTGACTTTTTTGGTGAGTGGGGGGCATGTTTTTTTGTAAATGTTTGATTCCAAATTTCTTGAAAGAGATTTTATCTATTTCAGAAGGGAAGCAAAATAATTTGTTTCCATTGAAAATGAGGGAAAACATAAAACAATGATGAAATTCAAAAAAAAAAAAAAAACAACATGTTATTGAAAAAAAAAGTTTATTTCTTATTTAAGTCGAAAAATATGTTTGTCCTGAGCACAAGGAAATACACGTGCTTCTGCACACACTTAATGAAGAGTCGGTGCCTAAGCAATCTGATTAAGATACAATGTACAGATCATCTGTCTAAGCCTTGGGTTACGAGGATCTGACAACACTTCATTTTACTTTCTGTTCTGGTAATATTACATCACCCAATGAAATTTCAGCCTTCACATTTTTTATCAATCCGACAAAACCAGAGAATCCAAATGGTCTTTAAACAGAAAATAGAATGGAGTGTTTTCAGATCCGCGTAAGCAAAGGTTGGACACACAATGTCTGTAATTTAATTAGATTTGTGTCTAAATGAACATAAAAAGCTGCATTTATTTATGGTTTACTGAGGCCTGTTTGTATCTAACAGATAGAGAGTTGTGTTTTAAATTTTTTTAATTGAAGATCTACGGCGGTGGCTTTTAATATTTTGCTTTTATCTTGAAAACAACAATAGATTTAAAAAAAAAACAAATAGTGCAATGTGTCTAACTATATTCTATAGTAAAGGTCCCATTTGGGCAATTTTGGCTTTTATGAACTTTGTTGTTTTATTGCCTATTATCTTGATAACTTATCTGTAGAGAAACCTGTTTTTTTCAAAATGGTATAGACAAGAACAGATTTGAAATTAAATAAATTATAATTACGGTCATTTTCTTTCATTGGTTGTGGGGATGGGGGAGGAAACATGGGAATTTCTCTTATTTTTTCAAGTCTACAACTTGAAATAGGACAAAACAATCAAGACCCCCTTTCCAAAGACAAAAACATTGTTGTGTCTATCTTGAGAAAAGTAATATATAAAGAGAAACTTGAACAGCTAAAATGATCAGCAAGGCAAAATTTACGAAAAATGAACATACTGGAAATTCATGTTTTAACAAGGTATAAAAATATTGATAAATATAATGCCTACCCTTGTTAAAATGAGCATAGAGCATGGCATAAAAGAATCATTTCTTTAATTTAATAACTTTAACCGTATTTTCATTATTGTAGACCCCGTATGTTCATTATTGTAAACCCATCGATTAAAACTTAACTTTGCATTTCATATTTTGACAATTTTCCAACAATATCTGATGTGATTTTTTTCATCTTAAACTGTGGTACTAACATGACAAGGTTTATCTCTTTTTAAATCTCAACCATTTTCCAAATGATAGCTACAGATTTGAACCGGGCTTATATTAATACCGCAGAAGAAGATCGGAATCAGTTATGACGTAGACAGTAATCGTTCTAATCGTAATCATGTTCATTGACCATAACGACGATGAAAGCACATCATATAATGACGTTTCGACATCATATAATGAAGTAAACCGAACCACATCACATAAGGTTACACGCACATAATATAATGACACAACCACATCATATTAGGATGTTTGTACCTAATATAAGGGAAAATGCACATAATATAAGTATATTTGCACATCATATAAGGATCTTTGCAAATCATATAAGTACATTTGCACATCATATAAGTACATTTGCACATCATATAAGGATATTTACACATCATATAAGAATGTTAGCACATCATATAAGAACGTTTGCACATCATATAAGTACATTTGCACATCATATAAGTATAGTTGCACATCATATACGTATATATGCACATCATATAAGTATATTTGCACATCATATAAGGATGTTTGGACATCATATAAGGATACTTGCTCATAATATAAGGATATTTGCACATCATATAAAGATGTTTGGACATCATATCAGGATACTTGCTCATAATCCAAGGATATTTGCACATCATATAATGGTGTTTGCACATCATATAATGACAAGTGCACATCATATAAAGGTAAATGCACATCATAGAATGAAAATAGTCTTAACAAGACAGTTTTGGCGTCCATAGTCGTCCCCTAAGTGTATGGTTATAAATATAAAAGAAAATAAATCAATTTCTTTTTCAGTGAAGATGACGAGTGGATTGAATGGATTAGAAAGGATTTTAACAAGTTTGCTGACAATGGAAAATTAAGCGCAGAAAACTTCGAAAAATCCCTGGCTATTAATAAGGTACGTCGAAAAAAGATCATATCACATTAGTTAGATGATCATATTTTTTTGCAAACAATTGTAAAAGATACCATGGGGACTAAACAAAAGAGTCCAAGAATGAAAGATATCACATTGACAAAATGAAAAGATGACAAACAGACAAAATCAGTGGACTAAAGATTGACATGTACCCAAAAAACCTATCGGCCAATTTGGGTGAACAAATGTTTGCAGGAAAGGAAATCAGTTCATTATCCTATCGTAGACAACCTCTTGTTGTGTGTGAAAGTAAATGTTGGTGACAAATCGCATTCTCTGATATCTTACACGATAGTAAAAATGACAGAAATATGGTTTAGACAAAGGACAATGTACAATAAGGCCCGTTTTTGGCCCTCCTATTTTCTCATTTTTCTCATTTTGTTTTGGAAAGCTACTTATCACGTTAAAATATTCCCTTAAGTTTGAAGTTTGTTTGAATGAACTTCAAAACCATTAATTTCAGAAAATGGGTGAGATGAGGGGGATAAAAGGGCATCAAAAACGCCAAAAGAAGGAAAAAGTACAATTTTTGGCCATTGTTTCTTAAGATTTAAGTGCACCTACGTGACCCGGAGAAAATTATGGCGATTTAGACAGCAAAAACAGTTCTCATGACATTGGAATGAAAAAATTCCTGGGTCACGTTGGCGCAGGCACTTAAAAACTAAAAATTAGTTGTAAGGAACACCTGCAAAGTGAATAATAAATACAATATTTGAATAGTAACAGAAAGTTTACCCCCCTCACCTCACCCAGTTGCTAAAAATAGTGGTTTTGAAGTTCATACAAACAAACTTCAAACCTCAGGGAATATTTCAACATAATAAGTAGCTTTCAAAAACAGAATTTGAAAAATGAGAAAATAGGGGGCCAAAAACAGGCCTTATCGTACCTTGTCCTTTAACATATTCATGGTAATCTGTGACACATATCGACCAACCAGTTCCTGATGGCGGCTGAAAAGCTTTCAATTTTTCCATTATAAATCATCAGTTTGGTAGCTTTCTTTTACGCTACAACTCCCCCAAAAAAAGTGAGGGAAACGACAGTCCTGGAATATACACCTGTTTGCTATTTAGTGCAATCAGGAAAAAAGCAGACCCTGTGTGGGTCAAGTGTCGCAAAAACATAGGTTACCAGTAATGAGCTGAGGGAAGAGAACGTGTAGAAAGTGAATATTTTGAAAGTTTTAAAACACATATTAAAGTATTCAAAATGCTTTGTTTGAACTGTTTACGATGGTTTAAACATGTTTCTTTGAGAATTTTTATATTTGCATTGTTTACCCAAGGCCCCAGATAGCTTCAACTGGATTGTGACGTCTTGAAAAAGTTGTGTAATTTCAGAACTTATCTGATTTGGCATAAATAGCGATAAGGTGTATAGGTTTGATGGTGATATATACACTTGATATGCATATGAAGGTGTTTTTTAAATTGGTTAAACAAATATATATTAGAGGTTTCATGAAAAGAGACCATCATTTGAGAGCTAAACATTGAACCATGTACAAAAAGGTTCCTAGGAGACTTTGATGTTATTAGGTCAGTGAAATAAGTACCCTCTGCACCCTAAAGGTTGCACTTTGTAAATACAGCTGTTTCACATACCACACCTCTTTAAGGGGGATAACATATTCATAGATAGTTTGTTTTGTTTACATACTGGTTCCCCGATATGATCTCTATGATAAATCTCTAAGAGACATAACTTTGGAATGTTACCAGTAAAAATACACATGGATAGCGGCTAAATTGAATTTTGAGGAAGACTCAAAATGAAGGGATGGGTAGTACAGAATTTAAGTATAAATTTAAACTCTTGGAAGTTCGGGGCATATTAATGTTGAAAATATGCCGCACAGCCCTATGTTTTGACCTGTGAAAAAATATAGTAGTGCATATGAACTTTCCATTCTAGAATATATTTTTTTACGAAACTTAACTTCATTGTTAAAGTGGCAAAGTTTTAGCCGTAAAAGAAGTTCCTATTAGTCCAGCGGCTAAGTCCAACTTTTTGGCACAATTGATCACTTTATGGTAAAAACATGAAACTTTGTACATCGTTAGTTATGATGCCTATTAACATTTTTGGATATGGAGCCATCTAAAGAAATTCCATAATGGCCGTCAAATTCAAAATGGCCGCCAATAGTCAACAGGCTAAGTCCTATATATTGGTATAATTGATCACTTTATGGTAAAAGCACGAAAATTTGCACAGTGCTAGTTATGACGGTAAAAAACATTTTTTGATATGGAGTCATGTTAAAAAGTTCCTGATGGCCGCCAATAGTCAAGAGGCTAAGTCTAATATATTGCTGTAATTGATCACTTTATAGTAAAAGAATTAAAATTTGCACAGTGTTAGTTATGATGTTTATAAACATTGTGTTATATGTATAGAGCCATCGAAACAAATTATAAAATGGCCGCCAATAGTCAAGAGGCTAAGTCCAATATATTGGTATAATTAATCACTTTATGGTCAAAGCATGAAACTTTCCACAGTGTTAGTTATGATGCGAATGAACATTTTTGAATATGAAGCCATCTAAAAAAAAATCCATAATGGCCGCCAAATTCAAAATGTCCGCCAATAGTCAAGATGCTATGTCCAATATATTGGTGTAATTGACCACTTTATGGTAAAAGCATGAAACTGCACAGTGTTAGCTATAATGCTAATGAACATTTTTTAATATTTCGAGGCCATCTATAAAAATCCATAAGAAGCTTCTGTACCCCAGTCATTGCTTTCCTTGGTCAGTATGATTTAGTCTGACCCAACATTCAGTCAAAATTAACAATAGCACAGCTTCTGAAGTATAGTTGTAAAAAATAAACAACCCAAACCGTCACATGAAAGACCATGAACCCCCAGTTTGTGCTTATTTGGGAATCATGATCCACTGTAAGAATAGAAAACGTTATCTAGTAGACACTTTCTTCCAACTTGGACAATATGTTTCCAACGACAGAGTGTTAGAAATTTCTACTTCGATGGCCAATGATGCTTGTCGTTATATCCAGGAATGTATTGTTTGTCCTACCCATCTACTAAAAAATGTTTTCACTTCGTCTGCTGAAGATAACATTGACCACAATCCAAGCAGTATACCACAAAAAAAATCATTTCATGGTACCGGTATATCTTTATTCCAACATATTTCATAGGATGTTCAAGGAGTTTTGCAAACATTTTACCTATCTGAAGCTATTTTAAAATACTTTTTTACCAGAAAGTTTTTCGAATCTTCCACCAGCTGTAAAGAGATTCAGCGAACCAGATATCCCATTAGTCGAAGGTGAACTATCAATAGATGTGTCTTCATTCCCAGTTAAATTAAAAGAGAAAGTCAAATGGCTCAAAGATATTGCGGAAAATTTAAGTGTTAAGGCTGAAGTTGGGACAAACTTTTCACGCTCCGCCTATCATGCTTCGTCGTTGCCAGATGAGAATAAACTACCGCCTATCATGCTTCGTCGTTACCAGATGAGAATAAACTACCGCCTATCATGCTTCGTCGTTGCCAGATGAGAATAAACTACCAGCAATGTCTGCCCTTCTACCTCTGTTTCACGAGCAAGCTTAATATGTTGCAATGATACGGCATTTATTGAACTTATTCGTAGCGCTGTAAGAAAGCTAAATCCAGGTCAAACTCCCCTTGTTGATTTGACCAACTTCTTTTTACAGTAGTAAAACTAATACAATGACGAGGTAAACTTTGCCATGATGTTCGGCGGCCTACAGCGTTCAAATCCCTTGGTAGTTAGCTAGGCGATAGTGGATAGACTAATGTTTTAGAAATGTCAAGCTTACATCACCCGGTACAGCAGATTCATTCCTGAAGGCGTCTAATGTTACAAAAACAGGTAAAGCTAACCAAATTACGGCATGTTCACTTGACTGTTTATTGGCAAATGCTTACCGACAGTTCACAGATACGTTGAATGATGATAAGGTAATCCTAGAATTCGAAAAGTGGTATTTGGAAAGATCAAAGAATCTCCTCATTTTAAATTTTGGTATGTAACCCTGCAATTTGAATTGACAGTATTGATATTGAAAAGGTCTATACGTGAGGCTAACGCCTTATCGATCGAACAACGTATGTCTTCGATAAAACCAAGAGGAACAATTTATCACTTTTCATACACCACCTCCTGCAAAGAAAACGTCTACGATAGATCACAAGCTACCGTATTTGAAAAGTAATTGCTCTTTATTTTCAAGACTGTATATTGCTTGTCAATCAACAGATGGACACATCGCTTTGTCAAAATGGTACGATCCGTCTAGGAACAAAAGCTGACCTTCTGTCAAAATGTCTAGATAATTTGTCGCCTCTAACAGATGTTCAAACTGTAGTGTTTTGTATTATTCTTGGGAGATCTGCATATTGTGAATATTGGAAAAGATGGACAAAAAATTGACATTGTGTTTGACACGTACGTTGACACTAGCTTAAAAGCGTCTACTCTTGAAAAACGTGATAAAGCTATTCGATGGAGAATTCAAGATGAATCGAATGTTCCAGGAAACTTGCAAGAATTCTTGCGTTTGTTTTTTTACTCGCTGACAAAATAATCAAAGCTGGAATAGAAAATTAGATTGAAGTAACTGACAAGGACAACGACAATGGAAATACTATAAACCACAGCTATAAATTATTGAGCTCATGTTCACATAATCGGGCAGATACCAGAATGTTCTTGCTTGCCTTGGATGCTGCCTAGAAAAAGGTCACAACAGAATATTTATCAGAACAGTTGATAAAATTTTGTTGTATTGTTTGTGTCTTGTTTCAACAGACTGCAGATTGAACAGTTGTGGGAGGTTTTGGCACTGGAAAGAACTTCCAATAAATTTCAGTTCATGTATTAAGCCTTTCTCTAGGACCATTGAAATCGAAAGTCTTACCACTGTTTCGTGCCTTCACCGTTTGTAAGGAATTATCAGAATTGACAGAAGCATTTGTGCACATTATTGAAAATCCAAATGAAGTGAATATATTAAAAGTAATAAAAGTTATATGTCGGTATGTGCCTCTGTATGATCGTTCTAGTTAATTTAATACATTGAATGAACTAAGAAAACATCTATTCACACAGAAGACAAGATGAATTTACAATATTCCTCATTTCGACAGGCACTACTACAACATACGAAACATGTAGCTGACCAATGAAGTGTTATTTGGGGAAATTGTTAAGTCGCAAATCTTGGTATGCCATCACCAGATTTATTTGGTTGGCAAATCTTGATGGTAAGTGGGTTTGGCCAGGGCTTGCAGAAGTACGAAAGGATGTCGGGGGCATGTAAATGATTGACAGTAGCATTGAAATACAAAGCATTTATTATGTAACTCCTCACCGGACTGTGAGAAACTGATTGAGATTGTGCTAAATTTTGATTATCTTGACTTTAGATCTTCTTTCAATTATCAATAACTTGAATATTTTCTATAAAGTTGTTATGCTGAATAGTAACTTTTGAGGCGCCATTTTTATTTTCGCTCACATTTTGTAAAACGAAATACTTGTCTTTGTAGGGTTTCATACATATTTTTAATTTTTAGTTAATTTAAAGATTTTCTGAAGTCATATAAACATTAACTATAACTGTGTAAATTAAGACCTTGTCAGAGACGCCATTTTGAATTGTATCGGCCATTTTTTTTCATAGTTTATGTCACCTCTTTCAAAACAAATAATATGTTGGTTTGCATTTGTATCCAAAAAAGTGTTTCATTATTTGTGTATCATTTTATACCACATCATTACAAAAAACGTCAAATTTTGACATTTTTTAGGGCGCCATTTTGAATTTAGCCGCCATTTCGAAAACATTATCTATGTGCCCTGGTATAATTAATACTCTGTAGGCCTGTGTCTACATCACATGATACGTTTTATCAATTTGTTAACTGTCTATACCACATTGATAGTTTATATATAATAATATGGTCAAACTCTGACATTCTTAACGGTGCCATTTTGAATTTGGTCGCTATTTTGATTAATTATGTATTCATAAAGTTGAAAAAATAATCATTGGCATATCTTAAATGTATTTCATCAAATTTGTGAAATCTTCTGAACTCTTGCATATTAGTAGACCTCGTCAAGTGTATGATGTTGTATTCCAAGTACTTTATGTCGGCCATTTTTAATTTGGCGGCCATATTGGATTTTTTTCATGGCTCTATATCTGAATTTTGTTTATACCCCTTAATCTTTCACTATGCCAAGTTTCATGCTTTTACCATAAAGTGGTCAATTATTCTTATATCCGCTGTACTATATGGGAAATTGCATTGTTTATATTTACAGAAGTGCGACCTAAAGTATAAGACAGAAAAGCAACATTATTTACATATATATATATATATTATATATATTCCAAATACACGTTACAAGATCATGATTATAAGATGAAACGAATGCCAATGTTTCCTGCTGAACTAGACATTGAAAACTAAACACTCCTACCGAAACAAAAGACATGATACAAGTGTCAGCATCATGTTTGTTAGTAAACATGCTAGAAATCTGTCTGTGATGCATGCATAGCGGGAGACCCTGTCTACCAATCCGGTCTCGGTCTTTTTATATTTACAGAAGTGAAACCTAAAGTATCAGACAGAAAAGCAACATTATTTACACACACATATATATATATATATACAACTCGTCTAAACATCAGCCCAACAATGTTAGATCTGTAAAATTTGCTTTCGCAAATATTTTGTTCTTCCCTCGCCGGGATTCGAACTCGTGCTACTGAGATATCGTGACACCAAATCGCCTATACTGTATCCGACGCGCTAGACCACACTACCACCTAGGGTTCACAAATATATATATATATATTCCAAATACACGTTACAAGATCATGATTATAAGATGAAACGAATGCCAATGTTTCCTGCTAAACTAGACATTGAAAACTAAACACTCCTACCGAAACAAAAGACATGATACAAGTGTCAGCATCATGTCTGTTAGTAAACATGCTAGAAATCTGTCTGTGATGCATGCATAGCGAGAGACACTTACCCTGTCTACCAATCAGGTCTCTGTCTTTTTATAAATTCATGCGATTCTTTCAGTTTCTTTGTTGTTGCTGAGACTCGGTAAACTACCCCTGCGTCTAATGAACAATTGCCGAAGATTAGACCAAATCTGAACACAATAACCAGGAATTGTAATTTTATTTTCAGTCATTTTTCGCTACAAGATTTTTTGCCCTGTTCGACGCTGACGAAAATGGGAATGTCGACATCGATGAACTGATAGAAGGGTTACATCTACTGAAGAATGGAACTCCAACACAGAAACTCATGTTTTTGTTTAATGTCTTTGACACAGACGGTAATCATTATAAAACTTACAAATAGATCTTTTTGTTATAAGAAATTAAAATAAGTATTTCCGTGCGAAAAATACAAACTTTTTGATGAAACGCTACTGCAATTGTTTTTCGCGAAAATGTTTCTTTTACCTCGAGGAAGCAACAAATAGGAACCTCCAAAAATGACGCCGAAAAACATTAACGTTATCTATCATTCAATGTAAAAAATTATCAAAGTTATAATTTGGTACGAAATCGTGGCATTTTCTGGTCAAACAAATAAGATTAAATGAATAAATTGATAGACTTAATATTTAATACATGGTGTCTTTTTTTCTTTTTATTACATAAATTATTTATTGAATTTAATTAATTTCATAAAATCTAAATTTCCAGCACCAGCTTAGTTATCAGTACCAAAGTACTGACATGAAACATAATGTGCTTTTCTATAATGGTTTACTTTTACACATTGTGACTTGGATGGAGAGTTGTCTCATTGGCACTCATACCACATCTCCTTATATCTATTTTCGAAAGTTCGTCGTTGGTAATTTAAATTATAAAGAAACTAAGTGTCCAACTCCATCAGAAAGAGTTAACATTAGGTGAATTTGGCTTTGGTGTTTACGTCTTTCTTAGTCATACAGCTCTTCACGTACTCCTGTACTTATACATCCTTGGCTTTAATTTTTCAGGTTTAGCGTGATGAAAGTGAATCACGAAAAAGGTCAATGACTTAGCGCATTTGCAAATTTTTTTTCTCATATTCATAAGAAGGAGGTTATTGTTTGTTCTTATTTTATCTCAAGGTTTAATAAAACTTGATATTGAAAATTAAAGTACATCAAGATTTTTATTGGTCTAGTCAAAAGATGACGAGACATAATTATTTTCTATCATGCACTTTATGAGTTTATGTTAAAAAATGTTATATATTTATTAGTTCATAGACACTTTTTAATACAATATTAATAATTAAGGAATGATTGTAATATGTTTCTGTCTGATAAAATAGTTAATTATATAAACTGTTTATGACTTTATAAATCGGTGAAGGTTTCAGAAATAAAAATATCTTGAACGAATATTTTTTTTTCATGGCGTGTCACCTGGTATTTAGTGGTAATTAATAATAGATTCATGTCTGCAATTTTAAACTTTTTTTAAGACAAATTAAATAACTGATTTAACTTTTTCACGGCATGTGTAATCTCTGAATAAGAGTGTAGTATTTTTAAAATTAAAAACATAGAAAATGAAAGGATATGGAGTAAATGTACATGGGACGAAATCGCACACAATACATAGAAAACATAGAAAATTATCAATGAACAGGGCTTTTATTCCTGTTCTTCATCTTGACAGTTGATGTAGGGTCTTCAACAATAAACGAATCGTTCATACCCTACAACAAGGTCAAGACGGCGCTTAGCGTCGACTTAAGCGGTACTATTGATAAAAATAAACCACGGTTCACCTTCTTGCTACCCACCCGCCTCGGAGTGCCAACTTGTAGGATGCTTGTGTACGATGGTTCTCCAATCGAAAGCACGAGGGATACAAGAAAAGTGCAGTAATTTTGAAAGACATTGATCGCCGCTAAAATATTCCTTGAAGTTACACATGTCGGGAGCGGTCAATAAATTACATAATTTATAATTACGGGCGAGGTTTAGCATTAATGTATCCACTTATATCCAGTCTACTTGATGAATGCCACTATCCCCACATATTCAAATCTTGTGTGATTGCCTTGATTGAGGCCCTTGTACTTTTATCCTTTAAGGATGTTTGCTCCTCTTGTTTTTGAATTTCTGCCAGATTTTCGGAATCCTCTGGTTTTATCCATGTATTGCCATTAACAAATTTTGCCCACTAACCCCTACTTTTCTTTTCATAATTTTATTACATATAGTTTAAAAAGCCATATTTGAAAATCTTATAAAATCTTGTTATTTTTTCATAGTTTTTGAAACAAATAAGCGGCCAATGTTAAAAGTATGAAAAATCTGGAGAGAATCATTTTCCGCAAAATTTTCAATGGCTTTTATCTCAAAAACAAGCACACGGACCCTTCATTATTTTCTGCTTTTTTAGTTCCTTTATTTTTTATATTATCATTTTAGAATAGTCTTTTAAAAATCTTGTTATTTTAAAACAGGGTAGCGAACATCCTTAAATGAATTAAATTCCACAAATGTTAAACTTTGCTGCATTTGATTCGATTTTTGTCATGCGCTTCCCTGGTCTAGATTTATTCTTATACATAGAGAATTGCAGACAGTAAAAATATAAATTGTGGTCGGACAGGATGATTGTAAGTGTAGGAAGGTCGAAATTGGCACTAAAAGTTAAGAAAATTAAGATTTAGTCATTATCATCATTATGTTAATGTTATTTCATCATAATTGCGTCATAATTGCACACATTGATGAGAAAAATCAAAGTTGTGATGAAAGCTACCTAAAAACATAAAATAACGACCTGCGTAAGATCATTATTTTTCATTAAATTCAAATTACTGTTTGTTAAAACCTTTCAATCATTTGATAGTAATAGTGTGTTGTTGCCTTTTGCGTGTCACTGTACAATTTTCCTTCTTTATTAGTCTTTAAAGTTTTTTAGGCAGAAACAATCCTTTTCATTAGACTGAAATACAAAAAATAAAACCAAGCCAATTTTTTTCACATTTATGAGTGGGATCAGTGAAAAAACAAAATCATACTATAACCATGGATGTCCATTTTCCGTGTAACATGTACATTTCAATTTAGGGGGAAAAAAAGGGTGGGGGTCTTTTTTATCCTGATTCTCAATGTTTTAAAAAATTAATACTATTGTCAGGCAAAAGGGAGAGAAACTATTATTCTCATTAATTCGTTAAAAACCGTTTAAAAGTAATCTGTTTTAAGTCGTAAAAATTTCATGAAAATATAAAAAGAACATAGCAAACTCTTTTGTCAAGTGAATAAAACGTTTAAACCCGCTGCATTTGTTTGCACCTGTCCTAAGTCAGGAATCTGATGTTCAGTAGTTGTCGTTTATTGATGTGGTTCATAAGTGTTTCTGGTTTCTCGTTTTTTATATAGATTAGACCGTTGGTTTTCCCGTTTGAATGGTTTTACACTAGTAATTTTTGGGGCCCTTTATAGCTTGCTGTTCGGTGTGAGCCAATGATCCGTGTTGATACCGTACTTTGACCTATAATGGTTTACTTTTATAAATTTTGACTTGGATGGAGAGTTGTCTCATTGGCACTCATACCACATCTTCTTATATCTATATACAATAAAATACCAAGTGACTTGTATTTATCATGCACGGTAACAATTCATTTATTTCTTACTTTTTGCATTTACCGTAACACTTTTGTTTAATGTAATAGGACAGTGATTACTAACGTTTATATCTAGATTAGTGAGTATTGTTTCACCTTATAATTGAAAGTGGGCGTGTTTATACCCAATCGCAATAGAAAAGAGTATCCCAATTTGATTTGATTGGTAAAATTGTTACACCTTCCAAGCAAATCTTGTAATAAAAATTAACATTATTTTATGGTATATAAGTCAGATAATCCATAGTTTAAGATTTTTCTTACCGTATAACACACCTTGAGCTGTATGCATTTGTACTCGCTACGACAAAAGGGAAAAGTGCGGCGAGCCTCACGTTTTGTCCCGTTTATGAAGCTCGTACAAATAAATATTACATTTTCCGACAATGTGCATATATTGTATATTTTTTATCGGTTTAAGAGTACAGATTATACGAACAAAGTAAAATGTGTTTGCCAGTTTATGAATACAATATTGGATAATTTATTTTTCTTCATACAGGAAGTGGTTCAATTTGTAAGGTCGACCTAAAAACAGTCCTGCAATCATGTACCGAGGAAAGTTCTTTACATTTGTGTGATGAGGATGTTGATGAATTAACCACAGTTTTGTTTGAGGAAGCAGACATTGAAAACAGTGGTCAAATATTATTTGATGATTTCCAAACGGCTCTAGAAAAACACCCTGGTCTCATAAATAATCTAACATTCAGGTACGGAATTATATGATGCATAAATTTATTAAGTTATCAATAATTAATCTTTCGAGCGTACTTAGTTTGTTCTTAACAAAATTATAAACGCAATGCTAGGCGCTTACCATGTTTACTTCATAATTTTCATAATTGTTATTTATTGTTATTTCATCCAGGAAATAATTGCCTGCTGAAAAATGCCAGTATACATATGTGACATGACTACGTATTCATAGATTTCAAAATGCTATACAATTCCAGGCAATAACTGTTGTCGCAATTTAAATATCTCACAGAAAAAATATCTCAGATTTTTATTCATGTCATATATCCAAAAATAAATAAATCTAAATAACAGAAAGTTTACATTTAATCATTTGTTTTTTTTCTAACAGGTATTGATTTACTGGTTTATAAAACAGGAAAAACGACAAAGTGTCCATATTGACGTACCATGACATACCTATAAATAACTAAGATGTTAAATAACTGAACATATGTGTACAAAAAGAGGCTTTACGCCTTCAAATTTAATACAGACTATTGATAAACTTAGTATTAAGGTATGACAAGTATCACAAAGATGTAGAAATAAAATATGTGGCATGATTGCCAATGAGACAACTTTCTACCCAAGACCAAATGACGTCAATGTTAAAAACTATAGGTCATGTGACAAAACAAAACGGCTTCATTTGTTTTACTTTCTATTCACAGTGTAACGCAGTGGTGTAACATTCCAAAGAAAAGACGGCTATTGCGATTTTCTCGCTACTGGTCTATGGTCTATGTTCGACGCAACACGTCCAAAATTGTTTTAGTAATAGTGTATATTGCAATAAGCATCGCACTTGGTGTATATGCTGCATTGAAAAACATAGATTCTAATGGATTCCTTATAACTGCCAAAATTTGCGGGAAAAATTTGAATTTCAATTGTACTCTTGTATTAGTGCTGATGCTACGACAAGCAATCAATCTCGTGAGGTCAACTACGATTGGCAGACGACTTCCGCTCGACAAACACGTGCTGTTCCATAAATATGTAGTAATTATGATTGTTATTTACACAACGGTTCACACGATTGGACAAGTTGGAAATGCTTGTAAGTGTATTACAACAGAATAAGCTTTTAACAAATTCTTGTCTACATTATTTTATACCAAGGTCATGTTGGTTTTTTTTTATTTCTCGTAAATGTTTGAGAATCATTCATTTTTATAAAGTCTTATATGGTCCATATTTGACATCATCTGGTATAATATTCGGCTTCTCCCATCTTTTCCTCTAATATACTACTTAATATTAAACAATATCTCTTACAGTACTGTAACATTTTATGTCTGTTAGAAACGAAAATTTACACATAAACACAATATTTTTTACCTTTAAACTTTGTTGCCTACCTACTGTTATATATAAAAAGTAAAATAACAAAAATACCGAGCTCCAAGGAAAATTCAAAACGGAAAGTCCAAAATGGCAACAGCAAAAGCTCAAACACATCAAACCAAATTCAAAACAAATGTCATATACCTGACTTGGTACAGGCATTTCCTTGTGTAGAAAATGGTAGATTAAACCTGGTTTTATAGCTAGCTAAACCTCGTACTTGTATGACAGTCGCATTAAATTCTATACATATATATTATAGGTAAGATACAATAATTTAAAAAGGGTACACTAATGACCTGTTGCAGATTACCACAATGAGAAAAAAAAATAGAAAAAAATCAAAAAATACAGTGGTAGGATAAAGATTTGAACAAATTCAAGTACCTTGATTAGTAAACACAAATGATTTGGAGAGGCCTATGTACTTCATATGTCTGTTATTTCTTTCCCTTCTGTTGAATTATTCAAAACACTTAAGTTTTTACTCCTTGGCATGTATTGTCTAAGCTGTCTTTGGCATAACTTTTTATGAATTTTTAGTGTTTTATGCTCTTCCTTACTAGTATTTGATGTGTTCTTCCAAATGTTTTGATTTCAGTACCATTTATCACTTATAAATACATTACATGTAGGTTTCATTATAATACGTTATGCTGATTGGCTTACAGCCATCTCGCGTCATTCTGAAATTTACCTTCATTTCAAAATGAATGTAACATTCATGATGACACGAGCTTCCACAATAAAGTGCACATGTAAATAAAAGAAATACTCGATATAATCGTGTTCTCATGATCCTATAAAAAAAAATGTAATTATAAGTATTGAATGCTTCTTTTAGTAATTTTTAAAATGAAGCGCTTTCGTGCTTCATACAAAATGTACTTCGGTCAACGCTTTTACACCCCAATAAATTTATTAAAAGAAGCATTCAATTCTTAAATGTAGACGAAACCAACGTCAGGCGTATCAAATTATAATCCTAGTATCTATGACGAGTTTTTACTATGAATAAATTAAAATCACGCATATAGCTTTTCTCGTCCTATATTCGTAAGGTAATAATAGTTACTAAATTTTACTGAGGCTAAAACTATATGGACACACGACCTGCAATTTGTGAACATTTTTGGTCAAGTTTTTCAGTGTATAGATCCCAATTTTATACATTTTGCTTTATTCATTTTATATCATACAAAATGTACATGTATCATATATGAAGAAATCTATTTTTGAGTGTATGTCTATGAGACAGTTTGAAATAAGATATCACAAATTTGTCAACAGTATTTGTTCTAGACAAGAATTTCGAGTGATTAACCTACTGTCAGAGTTGTGCAGAATTCATGGAACTGTAGAGTATTCAAAAGTTAAATTGTTTATCAAATACATTTAGAGCTGAGATGAAATGAATACTAATAGAAAAACAAAGGATATGGGGTATCTATCCTTGACACAAAATCAGTAAATGCACAACAAAAAACATACAAAAAGCAAAGGTACAGCGCTTTTATTGCTGTTCTTCATCTCAAGGTCACAGCGAGACCTCAACACGGAGCAAAACAAACTCTCATCTCACTGCAAGTTTAAGACGGCCCCTAGCACCGGCTTAAGCGGAATTCTTTGCAAAAATAATTTGGATAGACTTTGTAAGATGTAAAACCACCCAATCGGGCCCGGTCGAAAAAGAACATACTGGAAAGAAGTACATATTTAAAACAAAACTGTTCCTACGCACAGGTGTAAATCTTAAACTATGTAGCATATATTTTAGTAATTAACTAGTCAACATTTTCAACGACTTACAGTTGTCTTCATTTATAAATTTAATGTTATACTTAATTAGATTAATTGCATATTATGTCACAAATGGGGGAGAGGGTACGAAAAAGGCAATCAACACCATTATACGAAGATACATAAGTTCATGTATATGTCACAGCTGAAGATTGATCAATCAGATAATTAAATTATGTTTATTTATTTAAATAACAGAGTAAAACCGGGGACAAATTCTCGGGTTTTATCATATATAATAATACAATTTAGAAATCAGTTTTGTTGAATCACTAAAACTTTATTTGAGATCGATTTTGCAAATCTCCTGTTCATATTAGACATGGGTATAAAATATCTTTGTGATATTTTATTTTTAGTTTGAAGTTAAAAATTGTGATTTCCCATACAGTTTTCGGTAAAACCATGAGAATTTCACATCTTAAAAATTCAAAGTGCCAGGATGTTCGTTTATATGTATAAACAGATACAATGTAACAGATAAGCAAAAGACGACGAGAAGCCAAAAAACAACTCAAAAAAACAGAACTTGAATATTTAAATGAAATGTTTAGTGAACATTTAGATATCTGTGTCATATGCACTAAGATCTATATTTTATTTTTGTATCATGAACATGATTGTGCATTTATGCGTGTTTGTGCATTAACATATTTTGTAAACATCCCCGGGTTTAACGTTTTTAAGTTTTTATAATGCTTCAACGTTAACGTTGCAAATATACATGTAGCATTTCCCTTAATTATACATTTATCTAGATAATAACAATTAATTAAATATGCAAATCATAAAAGTTACGATGAGTTTATGACGTCACTTGCATATTTTCAGATGTGGTGTCAAATTTGTCGACAGAGCTCTCAGTTGGAAATATTTTGTTTACGGATGCATCAAATTATGGGTTGTTAGACGGCTCAGCATATATCACTGGTTGGATTGCAGCATTCATATTGATTGTGATTGTTATTTTTTCGTTGCCATGTATTCGCTCTAAAATTTATGAAGTGAGTATAAAGGATTATGCTGATAAAATGACAACCAAGCAAATATACATGACATTTCTTTTCACATAACACAAGTAAGACATGCCATCGTTAAATGTTTTCAACAGATTTAGAACTGAGGTATTCACTTCAACTCGAAGTGAATCTACATAGGGTTAAAACAGTGTCAAAATGTCCCGAAAAGGAAAAAGACTAAATATGTAAATTTGCAGTTGAAATAACTTTACTGTTTTTTTTTTTAGATATTAGACGTGTAAGATGTATAAAATAAAAATACACTTGAGGCTTTCTAATTTGAAAACATTGAATCAAAAATGAAACGTATACATACGGAAAATTAAACATCGATGTACCCGTCTGTATTGTTGAATACAAACTTTCAGGAATTTTAGCGATTTGGATGTATACTTCACATATTATTATATCAATTCTATCAAAAATGATGTTTTAAGTTTCTAAATACATAAAACTGTTTTGTTTTGTTTGTTAAAATGAGTGGGGTCGTGGTGAAAGGGGAACAAGCATTTCAGCATTTATTAATTCATTAAAAAATCTTTGAACTGCTATATAACAACTTATATCTTGTTTCTCACTACTCAGACCTATCCTGGAACAAGATAAAAGTAAATTTTGAAATAATTCCTCCATATATAATTTAATTTAAAAAAAGTAATATGAACGAATGAAATGAAAATAATGCTCCGCAGCCCATATTGGATTCTAAAACGGTAGAAAAAAAAAACAATATTTATTTCTCAGTTTCTCAAAAAGAAACAAAACCTTCACAATTTATTTTAACATATGCTATTGAATATAGTTATCAAAGGTACCAGGCTTATAATTTGATACGCCAGACGCGCGTTTCGTCTACATAAGACTTATCAGTGATGCTCAGATCAAAATAGTTAGAAAGCCAAAAACAAGTACAAAGTTGAAGAGCATTGAGGACCCAAAATTCCAAAAAGTTGTGCCAAATACGGCTTAAGCAATCTATTCCTGGGATAAAAAAAAAACTCTTTAGTATTTAGAATAATTCATACTTCTGCAAACAGTGAATTTATAAAAATGACCATATCATTGATATTCATGTCAACACCGAAGTGCTGACTACTGGGCTGGTGATACCCTCGAAATTTGTCATTGAAGAAGTTCTGGATATTGTTTATAGAATGGAAAATGATTGGAAAAAATATAGAATAGAAAGAAGAAAAAAAAAAGATAAACATAGAAAAGATAATAACGGGATGATAGAATTTAAAGAAAAGAGAATAACGGGATGATAGAATTTAAAGAAAAGAGAATGATGGGATGATAAAATTTAAAGAAAAGAGAATAACGGGATGATAGAATTTAAAGAAAAGAGAATGATGGGATGATAGAATTTAAAGAAAAGAGAATGATGGGATGAAAGAATTTAAAGAAAAGAGAATGATGGGATGAAAGAATTTAAAGAAAAGAGAATGATGGGATGAAAGAATTTAAAGAAAAGAGAACGATGGGATGATAAAATTTAAAGAAAAGAGAATGATGGGATGATCAAATTTAAAGAAAAGAGAATGATGGGATGATCAAATTTAAAGAAAAGAGAACGATGGGATGATAGAATTTAAAGAAAAGAGAACGATGGGATGATAGAATTTAAAGAAAAGAGAACAATGGGATGATAGAATTTAAAGAAAAGAGAATGATGGGATGATAGAATTTAAAGAAAAGAGCACAATGGGATGATAGAATTTAAAGAAAAGAGAACGATGGGATGATAGAATTTAAAGAAAAGAGAACAATGGGATGATAGAATTTAAAGAAAAGAGAACAATGGGATGATAGAATTTAAAGAAAAGAGAATGATGGGATGAAAGAATTTAAAGAAAAGAGAATGATGGGATGAAAGAATTTAAAGAAAAGAGAATGATGGGATGAAAGAATTTAAAGAAAAGAGAATGATGGGATGATAAAATGTAAAGAAAAGAGAATGATGGGATGATAGAATTTAAAGAAAAGAGAACAATGGGATGATAAAATTTAAAGAAAAGAGAATGATGGGATGATAGAATTTAAAGAAAAGAGAATGATGGGATGATAGAATTTAAAGAAAAGAGAATGATGGGATGATAGAATTTAAAGAAAAGAGAACGATGGGATGATAGAATTTAAAGAAAAGAGAACGATGGGATGATAGAATTTAAAGAAAAGAGAATGATGGGATGATAGAATTTAAAAGAAAAGAGAATGATGGGATGATAGAATTTAAAGAAAAGAGAATGATGGAAAAGAGAACGATGGGATGATAGAATTTAAAGAAAAGAGAACGATGGGATGATAGAATTTAAAGAAAAGAGAACAATTGGATGATAAAATTTAAAGAAAAGAGAATGATGGGATGATAGAATTTAAAGAAAAGAGAATGATGGGATGATAGAATTTAAAGAAAAGAGAATGATGGAAAAGAGAACGATGGGATGATAGAATTTAAAGAAAAGAGAACGATGGGATGATAGAATTTAAAGAAAAGAGAACAATGGGATGATAAAATTTAAAGAAAAGAGAATGATGGGATGATAGAATTTAAAGAAAAGAGAATGATGGGATGATAGAATTTAAAGAAAAGAGAACAATGGGATGATAGAATTTAAAGAAAAGAGAACAATGGGATGATAAAATTTAAAGAAAAGAGAACAATGGGATGATAAAATTTAAAGAAAAGAGAATGATGGGATGATAGAATTTAAAGAAAAGAGAACGATGGGATGATAGAATTTAAAGAAAAGAGAATGATGGAAAAGAGAACGATGGGATGATAGAATTTAAAGAAAAGAGAATGATGGAAAAGAGAACGATGGGATGATAGAATTTAAAAGAAAAGAGAATGATGGGATGATAGAATTTAAAGAAAAGAGAATGATGGGATGATAGAATTTAAAGAAAAGAGAATGATGGGATGATAGAATTTAAAGAAAAGAGAATGATGGAAAAGAGAACGATGGGATGATAGAATTTAAAGAAAAGAGAACGATGGGATGATAGAATTTAAAGAAAAGAGAACAATGGGATGATAAAATTTAAAGAAAAGAGAATGATGGGATGATAGAATTTAAAGAAAAGAGAACGATGGGATGATAAAATTTAAAGAAAAGAGAACAATGGGATGATAGAATTTAAAGAAAAGAGAACAATGGGATGATAGAATTTAAAGAAAAGAGAACAATGGGATGATAAAATTTAAAGAAAAGAGAATGATGGGATGATAGAATTTAAAGAAAAGAGAACGATGGGATGATAGAATTTAAAGAAAAGAGAATGATGGAAAAGAGAACGATGGGATGATAGAATTTAAAGAAAAGAGAACAATGGGATGATAAAATTTAAAGAAAAGAGAATGATGGGATGATAAAATTTAAAGAAAAGAGAATGATGGGATGATAGAATTTAAAGAAAAGAGAACGATGGGATGATAGAATTTAAAGAAAAGAGAACAATGGGATGATAGAATTTAAAGAAAAGAGAACAATGGGATGATAGAATTTAAAGAAAAGAGAATGATGGGATGATAGAATTTAAAGAAAAGAGAACGATGGGATGATAGAATTTAAAGAAAAGAGAACAATGGGATGATAGAATTTAAAGAAAAGAGAACAATGGGATGATAAAATTTAAAGAAAAGAGAATGATGGGATGATAGAATTTAAAGAAAAGAGAATGATGGGATGATAGAATTTAAAGAAAAGAGAATGATGGGATGATAAAATTTAAAGAAAAGAGAACAATGGGATGATAGAATTTAAAGAAAAGAGAACAATGGGATGATAGAATTTAAAGAAAAGAGAACAATGGGATGATAAAATTTAAAGAAAAGAGAATAATGGGATGATAGAATTTAAAGAAAAGAGAATGATGGAAAAGAGAACGATGGGATGATAGAATTTAAAGAAAAGAGAACAATGGGATGATAAAATTTAAAGAAAAGAGAATGATGGGATGATAGAATTTAAAGAAAAGAGAATGATGGGATGATAGAATTTAAAAGAAAAGAGAATGATGGGATGATAGAATTTAAAGAAAAGAGAATGATGGGATGATAGAATTTAAAGAAAAGAGAACATTGGGATGATAAAATTTAAAGAAAAGAGAACAGTGGGATGATAAAATTTAAAGAAAAGAGAACAATGGGATGATAGAATTTAAAGAAAAGAGAACGATGGGATGATAGAATTTAAAGAAAAGAGAACAATGGGATGATAAAATTTAAAGAAAAGAGAATGATGGGATGATAGAATTTAAAGAAAAGAGAACGATGGGATGATAAAATTTAAAGAAAAGAGAACAATGGGATGATAACATTTAAAGAAAAGAGAATGATGGGATGATAGAATTTAAAGAAAAGAGAACGATGGGATGATAAAATTTAAAGAAAAGAGAACAATGGGATGATAGAATTTAAAGAAAAGAGAACAATGGGATGATAGAATTTAAAGAAAAGAGAACAATGGGATGATAGAATTTAAAGAAAAGAGAACGATGGGATGATAGAATTTAAAGAAAAGAGAACAATGGGATGATAAAATTTAAAGAAAAGAGAATGATGGGATGATAGAATTTAAAGAAAAGAGAACAATGGGATGATAGAATTTAAAGAAAAGAGAATAACGGGATGATAAAATTTAAAGAAAAGAGAATGATGGGATGATAGAATTTAAAGAAAAGAGAACGATGGGATGATAGAATTTAAAGAAAAGAGAATGATGGAAAAGAGAACGATGGGATGATAGAATTTAAAGAAAAGAGAACAATGGGATGATAAAATTTAAAGAAAAGAGAATGATGGGATGATAAAATTTAAAGAAAAGAGAATGATGGGATGATAGAATTTAAAGAAAAGAGAACGATGGGATGATAGAATTTAAAGAAAAGAGAACAATGGGATGATAGAATTTAAAGAAAAGAGAACAATGGGATGATAGAATTTAAAGAAAAGAGAATGATGGGATGAAAGAATTTAAAGAAAAGAGAACAATGGGATGATAAAATTTAAAGAAAAGAGAATGATGGGATGATAGAATTTAAAGAAAAGAGAATGATGGAAAAGAGAACGATGGGATGATAGAATTTAAAGAAAAGAGAGTGATGGGATGATAAAATTTAAAGAAACGAGAACGATGGGATGATAGAATTTAAAGAAAAGAGAACAATGGGATGATAGAATTTAAAGAAAAGAGAACAATGGGATGATAAAATTTAAAGAAAAGAGAACAATGGGATGATAGAATTTAAAGAAAAGAGAGTGATGGGATGATAAAATTTAAAGAAACGAGAATGATGGGATGATAGAATTTAAAGAAAAGAGAATGATGGGATGATAGAATTTAAAGAAAAGAGAATGATGGGATGATAAAATTTAAAGAAAAGAGAATGATGGGATGATAAAATTTAAAGAAAAGAGAATGATGGGATGATAGAATTTAAAGAAAAGAGAATGATGGGATGATAAAATTTAAAGAAAAGAGAATGATGGGATGATAGAATTTAAAGAAAAGAGAACAATGGGATGATAGAATTCAAAGAAAAGAGAACGATGGCATGATAGAATTTAAAGAAAAGAGAAGAATTAGCAGGAAAACATAATAATGAAAAATCCCATAACAAATAAAAAAATAAAAAAAAACAGATGTGAAGGACATACCCTCATAGATCCTATTTATTGAAATATATTTTATATACTCCCTTGTTTTGGAAAATTCTTGTGTGGATGTATGAATGAAAACAGCTGTCAGTTTTCTGCCTGCGTCAATATGCTTATGATATAACGTAGCAAATTACAAATTGTTAAAATTGTTCGCTGACACCTTATCCTGATTGCTTATTTGATCATAAAGTAAATCGAGAATTTGAATTTAACATAACTGCGTCTCTGATATAAGTCAAGGTCTAATGTTTATTAATATTGTGGACGAGATTTTTGTTTAATGAGGCACAAGGTGTTTGTTAAAGTACCTTGCGATAAAATAGAACACCAGAAAACTTGCTTCGTGTGACTAAAAACATATCACCTTATACAAATTAATGTAAAATTAGTACTTTAAATTTCATTCATCGTCATTTTGACTTACATGAAATTAAAAAAACATAAAATATGAAAGATGAGAAATCACTTACACTGTTCACAACATGCAAATGGCTATATGTTTGAAACATAAGTCTGAAATTAGGCATTAAATTTCGCACACATTCACCTGTTTTGTATCTTTATAAATTAAAGGAATTTATACTTAATTCTTTCAAGTGATAAGGCACAATGATTTTGCAAATAACGAAAATTAAATGTAATTGAGGGATCAGTTCGCCATATTCAATTTTGTATTGTTTCTACTATGTATAGTAAAAAAATCCAATGTTGAAGAAACCACAAAAAAAAAAAAACAAAGAATCCATTGAAATTAAGGGTTTATATATACATCTCAGTAGTAGTAGACAAATTACATACCTGTGCAAGAATGTTTGTTAAGGATGTTCGCTCCTCTTGTTTTTGAATTTTTGCCAGATATTTGGAATCATATCTGGTTTATCCATGTAGTTCCATTAAAAAAATTCGCCCGCTAAACCCTACTTTTGTTTCCATAATTTTATTACATATAGTTAAAAATGTCATCTTTGAAAATATTATAAAGTCCTTGTTATTTTTTCATAGTTTTTGAAAGAAAAAAGGTGCCAATGTTAAAAGTATGAAAAATCTAGAGAGAATCATTTCCCGCCAAATTTTTAATTGCTAATATCTCGAAAACAAGCACACGGACCCTTCATTTTTTCTGCTTTTTTTAATTCCTTTATTTATATACCATCAATTTATAACAATCTTTGTAAAAGCTTGTTATTTTGAAACAGAGTAGCGAACATCCTTAAATAGAGTCTGTATACGAATTATTCTTCAGATCGTTTTTTTTTATTATTGCAACTTATATTTGTAATTCTATCAATGTATAAGTTTAAAGTTTGTGACTGTAATAAAACTTGTATTGTAACTACGTAACCGAAAGCTAATACAATCATTTTGCGATTTAAAAGACAACCGTAAATTGTATACAGGTTTAAGTGTTATATGAAATGAAAGATTTAAAACGAGTATTGAGATAAAGAGGCAGTTTAAACCATAATGTACTGACAGAAAAAAATAATAGTCTTAAACGACACTTAATGGAAAATGTGATATTTGGAATAAACACTGCTTTGGATGAGAAAAAAATATATGACACTTTTCTTTTTTTTTCCCCAACAAGTAAAGCATATATATGACATGCATACAATATAATACATGTACAATGTAAGAGATATACAATGTCATTATTATAAATACATTATAATTGGAAATTTTTGACATATTTGTAGAACAAATCAAAAGAAAAAGTTCAAAAAATATTAAAATAGATAAATAAATAATAATAATTAAGAGATAGTATAGGAGTGGAAAATAAAGAAGTAAAAATAAAACAAAGAAGAAAAAAAAGAAAAACCGAATTATCCGGTTACATCGGATGATTCCCTATTTATATATATAAAACAACGCTTTATAAATCGTATGTGTATTTACCATCATTTGGATCACACAAATCCAAATACTTGATCACTAAGGATATATTAGTACAAGTAAAGGGTAATATGACTAGAAAGGACATAATATAGTAGCCGAATCCCTCTAAGTTAAACTTTGTCGAAGCGTGTTTGAATTTTAGTGTTTTAATAATATCGTAACTCTTTAAATTGACAATTTATGTAATAAACCAACTCTGAACTGAAGCACTGACAACTCCGCTGGTTATACCCTCGGCAAATCAACCAGCAGCGATGTCTACCTCCATACCAAACCAAAATAACACTTTATAAATTGGCGCTTTTTTTTAATTAACCTTTATCAGAAACGTTAAATTGTGTTAGCTTAATTTCTCAATTTTTAGAATATGTGATTTCTTCTTTTTCAGCTGTTTTTCACAGTACATTTTTTATGTGTTCCTTTTTGGATATTATTGATTTTCCATTGCCAAGATTTCTGGAAATGGATTTTGGTGCCCGGATGTTTATTTCTAATTGAACAGATTTACAGGATCAAATGGATTAAACAAATACGTTATGGTGTAACTCACATCCAGCGAGCTACCCTGTTACATGGAAGCGTACGTATATAATTATATGATATTTAATTCTGTTCACTTGATAATCATGCCTAACCTATTACTACCGCAGAAACATTATATCTTAAATTTTGCTTTCAGTAGTCTACTGATGTTCAAATTTGATAAATCTATGAATAAGACAAATAAAGGAAAAAAACTCAAACAGAAAGAATTTAATGAACTTCACAAATTAGCGAGATCGGGTGCGTCAACTGGGTGAACCTCTCCGGTTAAGTTTCAAGCACCCGTCATTCAAATCCACACTCAATAAAAATGTCACAATTAAAAATTACAAATAAAACGACTATTCTTGTATCGTAAGATCCAATATTGCGATAAATATTCCGCTAGTGAGTTCATAGACACAGGCCTTTCGTATCGGACCGGTTCGGTAGTCTCGTGGTAGCGTGTTCGCCTCGAGTGCGAACCCCGGCCGGTTCAAACCAAAGACTTTGAAATTGGTATTTGCTGATTCTCCGCTAAGCACGCGGCATTAGGGAGTAAGAGCAAGGACTAGTCGGCTCGGAGTCAGAATAATGTGTCCGGGTAAGGTGATATGTCTTCCTGCGGACAATTACATTGTGAACTAGCACGTTAAAAATCCGACTCAGCGTGTCGGTCTAGTACACAACAAGGTTAATATTCATATAATATTAACATGTTTTCGTGTTGAATATGCATATTATCATCATCATCATCATCATCTCTCTCATCGATCTACTATTTGGTGATGGAGAATTTGTAATTAAACCAAAACATACAAAAACAAATTTATCTGGTAAAAAAAAAAAAAGTAACAGAATTCTAACTACATGTCACTCATGGCTTATTTAAAAATAAGAAGATGTCGTATGATTGCCAATTTGACAACTCTCCACAAAAGACCAAATGACACAGAAATTAACAACTATAGGTCTCCGTACGGCCTTTAACACTGAGTAAAACCCATACCAGATAGTAAAAGGCCCCGAAATGGCAAATGTAAAACAATTCAAATAAGAAAACTAACGGCCTGATTTATGTACAAAACAATGAACGAAAAAAAATAAGATATACAGCAACAAACAACAACCACTGAATTACAGGCTCCTGACTTGGGACAGGCACATCTAGAATGTGGCGGCGTTAAACTAGTTTAAATCAGTCTAGTTTAATAGAATTTATTTATCACAAGATACGAGTCAGATATAGGTGATAAGTTCAACAAACATAGAAAGAATCCATACTATAGCTTACTATGCGGTATGAGTTGTGCTCATTGTTGAAGGCCGAACGATGATCTATAGTTGTTAACTTATATGTCATTTGTTCTCTGGTGGAGTGCTGTCTCATTGGCAATTATACCACATCTTATTTTCATAGTTCACTTTTATCATCAAAAACTAGACTTCTTTCTTTATATCGTTCATTCAAATTACAGTATACTAAACTGTTACCTTGTTACAGTGAAGAACAAACCTGTCTCCGTCAGTCTCTAATGATTTTTTTTTTGAATCAGGTAACCCACCTTGAAATATCGAGACCAAGGACATTCGATTTCAAACCTGGTGATTATCTGTATTTACAGATCCCGGACATTTCTCCGTATGAGTTTCATCCATTCACAATCAGCAGTGCACCGGAAATGAAAGGTATTTGAAAATAGTTTTCTCATTTAGGAGTGTAAGCTGGTTCTCGGCTGACTACTACACTTTGTTCATTGAGTGTAGCGTATTACAAGCGGATTCCAGTTTATTGGGAGTTGTAATTATAAATTATTAATGGTTTTTCAAACGAGAGGTGTTTCTCAGCTACAATCTCATCGAATGGCGACAGAGAAACTTCCTCGAGTTTGAAAGACCATTGATAATCTGTTTATCGCTATTTTGCCTATGACGTCGTTGATGTTTATATTGACAACGTCGCGTGCGCCCTTAGTTTACGATCAGTAGTGCGCCAGAAATAAAACGTATATAAAAAACCATGAACAATATAGAACAGACATCGGTATTTTTAGCAATAACTACTATTTTTGTTATTTGTAAATGTTGATTTATGACTCGTTTACACGTACATTTAATTCGAATTGAATTCGAATCGAATACGCTAATCGCGTTCACACATTCTTCTTTTTTTTAATTCGAATCGAATTCGAATTGGCTAATTCGCGTTATCATATTCGCATTAGAAATGCGTTTTCGTTAATGCGAATTAGTTACTTCGCTTCAATTCGAATTAAACGGTGGTGTGAACACTGTCTAAATTGTAATTCGAATTAAATTATAATTATTTAATTGATAATGCAAATTAAAAGTTAACGTCGTTCGGACAGTAAAGCGAATTTGACGCGCATTGCAATTCGTATTAAAATTTACGTTCGGACGTAAAACGTTTCGAATGCGAATTAAACTAATTCGAATGAGTTAATGCGAATCGAATTTGAATTACGTGTGAACGCAGCATAAATTATACAAATCTCCTAAATGGGAACTCAAAAAAGAGAGGACAAAGATACCAAAGGGATATTCAAACTCAAAATCGAAAACAAACTGACAATGTCATGGCAACCAAACGAAAAATGACGAAAGGACAACCATCAGATAACAAAACACAACATAGAAAACTAAAGACTGAGCAACACAAACCTCACCAAAATCCATTAGTGATCTCAGGTGATCCGGAAGGTTAAACAGATATTGCTGCCCATGTGGAATAACTTCTGAAATAACCTGAGGATTGAAAGTCTCATTCACATTTGTAAATTTATACTTCTATGTAACAATTTTAGTTTCTTATACCAGTCTTGACTTAATATTTTTGTTGATTCATTGCATTTTAATGCACGTAATTCAAATCATTATGGGGGCCTCGGTGGCCGAGTGGTCTAAGTAGTTACTACTGTAATCACTAGCCAGTCAACACAGAGAATGTGAGTTCGAACCCCGCTCGTGCAGGTGCACTCGACTCCAATCTTAATTGAGTAGGATTGTCAGTTTTCCTATCGAAGGTCGGTGGTTTCCTCCGGGCACTCCGGCTTCCTCCACCAATAAAAACTGGCCGCCACGAAATAGCCCAAAAGCGGTGCTTAAAAGTGTCGTTAAAACACCAACAATCAAATCAATCAATCAAATCATTATGAGAAATGAAATAGAAAATTCAAGAATTATACGCATTAAAAAAAAAAAGAATTGAGCACTTTAGATAAAATTAACGTATTCTAAATATAACGTGAAGTTCACACTAAATGATAACTGTTATAAATAAGCTTATCATAGATACCAGGATTGAAATTGTGTACGCCTTTCGTCTAAAAAAGACTCATCAGTGACGCTCGAATCAACAAAATTATAAGAATGCATTCTTGACGTTTCATCATGAGGAAGGCACATATACATTGATAAATTAAATCATTTTTATTTCTTTGACAGATATGTTATGGTTACATATTCGGAAAAGAGGAAACTGGACAAATGCCTTGTATAAATTCATTTCCAAATACGACCCGGATGTTGGTTCGAGAAGATCATTTTCATGGTTACAAATGATAAAATCTTTAACGGGGAGAACGAGATCGAATTTGCCAGATAGTGTTAAGGGCTCAGTTGGTAAGAAAATTACACTAAGTCAATAAAAAGTACACAGGATACAAAATACTGATATAATTCAAAAGAACAACTAAAAAACTCACTAGTAAACCAGTTTTCATCGAAATCGTTCTTAAAAGACTGAACAATAAATTATTAGTCTTTTAGTCAACTTACAATCTTTTTCACTGTGGTAAATTAAGTACTGTTCAGACAATTCATTCGCAAACAATTAAAAGATCTACGCGGTGTATGTTCAGACATTTCAGCAGTAGTCTATTTTGACTGTGTACATTCACAACATACTGAAAAGCTACTGAACAGTATTGAACTGACTTGAAGCGAACTGTCTGAACAGTACTGAATTAATTGATGTACATTTAAGCGAACTTACCAAATATCTGCTGTGATAGTCAAGGCGCTGGTTCGATGTTTAAGTGGAAACACTAACTAATCTGATTATAACTCTCTACGTCTCTCTTGTAACTTGTCTGCAACTTGTCTCTCACACAACGTAGATTCTTCTGCACACAAATACTTCTTCTGGTTATCTCTTAGTCCGTCCTCATCTCTGGTTCTCTCTGTGTCCGTCCTCGTCATGTCATACAGTACGAGTTACCTAATCATAGTCTGTCAGACTGAAAATGAATTAATTATCTATTGATCTGATGTTGTTTTAAGATCAAAATTACAATTGAAGACTAAAACTCGTTTACTAGTGACTTGATATATCGACTTTTTGATAAGGTAATTCGTATTGTTTAGAGTGTCATATAAGTTCAATAATGAAAGTATTTGCACCTTTATTGACATGTACTTTAATTATAAATTTTACCAATGATAATATGAAGTATTATAGGATATAACGTCTTATGCTTGTTTCGTCAATCTTAGCTATTTTATGGCGACGGTTTTTTGGGAGTATACCGGTGTATCTGGAAAAGTATCAATCATAGCCAATTAATTTCGGAGTCGAACGCGCCTTGCCACAAGCGGGGTTCGGACTAGCAACTTCAGGGAAAGTATGCTAGTCATCATCACCAAGGTTTGTTACAAGGTACGCTATACCTAGACGCTCGTTTTTTCTGATTCACCAGTGGCGGTCGAATCAAAACATTTAGAATACTTAATTAAGTACGAAGTTGAACCTAAGTATTTCGAGTAATTCGAAATTTTATAAACATTTGATAGACAGTAACTGACCACATCGATGCAATTTCACTTAAGTTCCGACTGATTTGCGACTGGTGATACGGGATGAAATGTAGCCGCATCCACTAGGTGGTTTTTAACACGTATGATGTATAAGCTTGATTTACCGTTAGATTTATCACTGGGTTCGGACTTATACCCGATCAACACGACTTCTGTCACTTGTTATTCAGTATCTGCTTACCCTTCCGGAGCACCTGAGATCACCTCCAGTTTTTGGTGGGGTTCGTGTTGCTTAGTCTTTGGTTTTCTATGTTGTGTCATCTGTACTATTATTTGTCTGTTTGTCTTTTTATTTTTGGCCATGGCGTTGTCAGTTTGTTTTCGATCTATGAGTTTGACTGTCCCTCTGGTATCTTTCGTCCCTCTTTTAAGATCACCACTCTCCTTCCCCGGTTTTTGGTTGGGTTCGTGTTGCTCAGTCTTTAGTATGCTACGTTGTGTTTTGAAGAATGTTGATTGTCTCTCTGTCGTTTATCGTTTTTTCCATTGCATTGTCAGTTCTTTTTCGACTAGTGAGTTTGATCCGCATCTCCTATTATGTTATATGGTTATTTCTGAATAATTCAATTTTGGATGTAACGCGTCTTCTGATTGGCTGACATTGTTTTGTTTATCAGCTCATAGACATAATTTTGTCATGTGACCGTGACGTCATCAACGTTTTTTCATGGTTTACTCCGGTTTAACCCTTTCACTGCCAAACAAATTGTAAACAAACCCCTTCAGTGCCAAGGCTTTTTTTGATTGTCTTTACGTTTACGGAATTAACGTCGACGTCACAGTACAGCTTTGATAGCGCCAAAAGATTTTAATTGAAAATTGGCGGGAATTCCGGAGATTTTAATATTTTGACAGGTTACCTACTCTGTTGTAGGACATTCTGGTCCACGTTTGAGTAAGAGAAAACTAGATAAAGTAAAATCAAGCTTACAATTTGTAAAAAAAATGAAATAAATTGTTTTATGTTTTATGTTCTCTATACATGATCAAATAATTGCACCAATTTATAAGCTTGACGTTTACTTCTTCTCTCACTTGAACAGGGACCCGAATGTCCTTCCACAGAGAAAGTAACATGTTGGAAAATCATTTACTCACAAGTCAAATGTCGGTTATATGAAAAAGAACTATTGCAAATGGATTTGCTACTACTTATAAAAGAAAGCTTGTGAATATTCTTTATGAATAATTTCATTATATGAGCTTGGGATCAAACAATATTCAAGACACATTTATCAAGAAAGATATTTTATTCATCAGCGTTACATCGTCTGCTGTGTTTCTTATAACATATTTTATGAACACCTTTATGACAGAGAACACATATATGTTTCGACCTTTTCCTACCACCAGGAACATTTCGCACCGAACATACACAACAATCTTTTTCTTTTCTTCCCGGCAATTTTCTCAAATGTTGGTTGTTTCTTTCATCATTCAAGACCCCAAGATTGGCAGGGTTTCTTGTCATATGATCTTCGGAAAGGTCATCAATTAACAGTTGAATAAAATGGAGACGAGATTTAGCATTGTCGGAGTTCTGTTGATATAAAATATATGCGTTTATTACCATCCTGTGTATAATGTTAAACACGATCTTCTTCCACATTTTTGTCGATTTTCGCCCGTCTTCGTAAAAACTAGTGAGCATGTCGTTCAAGTCAACGCCTCCCATATATTTATTATACTCAGTTATCATTTTAGGTTTTCGGTTTGCAACAAATTCTGCATTGTACCGGCTAGACAACAATTTGACATTTTTGCGCTTTTCTTTTTCCTTAAACGCACATACCAAAATTCCCTGCTGTCGCATGAACATACTCTGGGAAACCCTTAAATTAGCCGATTTGATAAGGTTTGGTAACGGGCGATTACTACGCACAGCTCCAATTGTATATGTGTGTAAGTTTAACAATCGTTTCGCTAAAGATAAAGAAGTGAAAAACGAGTCGCAAAACACATGGTACCATTTATTCAGTAAACCAGCAGCGCGAAGTAATGATGTAACAACATATGAACCTTGGGTCTCTCCTGCTGGAGTGGGATCATATCTTTTTCCTTTGTAAACATTAAAGTGAAAACAATACCCAGTAATGGCTTCTGTCAACATCCATAGTTTGACACCAAATTTAGCGTGCTTTGTCGGAATGTACTGTCGCAAAACTGTACGCGATTTGGTCCCGATTAAGGATTCATCAATAGACAGGTTTTGAGACGGAGAATAATGTGTTTTCGCTTTTAGGTTGAAATGGTCAACGATGGGTTTAAATTTTGCAATAGGATCATAACTTGGTGAATTTCTAGGCGCTATCTTTCTATTGTCAACAAGATGCAGGAATTTCAACAACAATTGGAAGCGATTTCTGGTGAAAACTTTCCGGAACCAAGGAGTTGACTGACTAGAATGTTTTTTGTTCCAGTATTCAGATATTGTCGCCTTTCTGATTAAGCCCATATTCAAAATCACAGCAACGAAGGCTTTAAACTCTATTAATGTTAATTTTCCTTTCTTACGCCAACCATGAACCCTGGATTTATTGCTGATATTGTGCTGATTTCTTGTAATAAAATTTCTAGCGTACCTGGATATGAAAAATAATGAGTTTTTTAATTCTTGACAACCGTATAATATTTATTCACTGTAATTGTAGTTTAAAATTTCACACTTGTTCAAAAAAATCTAAGGATTGTGTGTGGGTTTTTTTTCCTTCTGTTTTCTGTGGTGAGATAAGAAGGGACAAAAACCATATTTTATATCATATATTATAGTTAAGCTCAATAATCTTTTTGACGATGCAATACTGGACAATGCGTTTTCCCACGATAAATGCAATATTAATTTCATGATGAAATCGAGTGCATAGCACTGTTACTATAGCTCCGTCCCCCGTGTTTTGCTTTTCTTTGATATTTTTTTTTCTCTTGTATCCAAGTTGGCAACCCTTGATTTCTCATTTCTATTTAAATGTTCGGCCTTTTCTAACGTATGCCGCATTGATCTTAAACATTGGACACAGTAAAGTTTTTTGCTTTGAAATTTATTCCGTGCATTGTGTCGTTTTTAAAGGAACAAGGGCTTACACATACCTGTTTGTTTCTAAGACAAACTTCTTCATTAAATCCATTGTAAAAATCAGCATAAAATATGCAATGGGTCTGGAATTTCTTGGAGGCATTCTTTTAGGTCCAACATTTTGATCAAATTCTGTGTGATCCCGAATTTCAGGAGGATACTCTCGAAACCAGGGATTAGGATCAGCCATTATTCGATAGATGCGTTTATGGATGACGTCATAAGATCAATAACGTCATTTATTGAATATCGTACTTTTTGGCGTATTTTTCATTTTTCGCGTCTCTAAAAAAAATTATTTGCATTTTATCTAAACCTTTCTTTGTAAAGGTATTTTGTTCTTATTTGATTAATTTCTATATTCTATATCTAATGTATTTACATTTTTACTTGCATTTATATATATTGTTTTTAAGTAACTCCCTTGATGATAACTTTAGGAACGTAAGCCTAAAATGCATACCGCAAAAGTGCTGGAAAAAAGAGAGTGAATTTAAGACTCAATACATATAAAACTTACTTCCATAATATTTATAAAGGAATCCTCACATGATTTTATTTTCATAATTTTCAAGAAAAAAGCTCGACTTCCGTATTTTTTAATATTAGAAAAAAACGCGCGAAAATTTAGAGACGGTAGAATTAATTGAAACGCAAAAACGGCGACGTCATAGTACATTACGTATTTCATAACATCATTTGAATTGGCCGATGAATCGGCCCTTTGGCACTGAAAGGAGTCGTACTTTAGGCCGATGATCGGCCCTGTGGCACAGAACTCGTTAAAATGGAATTTAGAATTAAATTATAAGAAATGACTGTAATATTTTTTCTGTCTATTCGAAATAACATAAAAAATGTGGTGCACACTTTGAAATAACCCGCTACGCGGGTTATTCAGTGTGCACCACATTTTTGATGTTATTTCGCATAGACAGAAAAAATATTACAGTCATTCCTTAATTATTTTTAGAACCTGTAAATAATCAAAGACAAAGAAGAGGAGGACTCCCATACATTGATGAGGTAAACTTGAAATATAAGTTTTAAGTATCGTTTGTGCAATGTTAAAAATGGATGTATTAAACAAAATCACAAGATGCCTACGCTTATTTCATAGGAAAAAATATTTCCACATAGCTTCCAAAAAAGATACTTAGAATGGCATACAACACCTTTACATCGGCAAAAGAAACTCACAGTTCAGCGGAGTCGACTTTTATTTTTAAGTGAAACAAATGAATTCTAGTACCAAACAAAATGTCAACATTCAATGTTTAGCTCAGCTAAGAATGATACATTTTGGTAAAAATAAAAACCTTTCATTCAGTGGTTGTCGTTTGTTGTTGTATATCATATTTGTTTTTCGTACATTGTCTTTTACATAAATCAGGCCGTTAGTTTTCTCGTTTGAACTGTTTTACATTTTTCAATTCGAGACCTTTTATAGCTGATTATTCGGTATGAATTTTGCTCATTGTTGAAGACCGTACGGTGACCTATAGTTGTTAGCTTCTTTGTCATTTTGTCTCTGGTGGAGATTTATCTCACTGGAAATTATACCACATCTTTTTATTTTTATATATAGCAATACTTATTGCCTAAACTTGAAAATGCAGTTTGATTTTTACGTTGAAGGTTGGTTTAGTGAAGCAGAGACGAATACAAATGAAAACGAAAAACATTGAAATCAGAGTAAGTGTATCATTGATGTTATACATATTTGTTTTTATCTTAGCACAGTTGACACTAGCTGAATTTGGCTATTCTTTGACAGTCTCTTTAGATAATTTAGTCCTCACGAAATTTGATATTTATACATCCTTGCCTTTAAAATCTTGGTGTTTTAGATGTCATTTTGTAGGTAACTCAAGAATTACTCTCCAGACGTAAGACGTTTATTAAGTTATTTTCATTGCATATTAAACTTTACAATACGAATAGTGCAGCATATTTCCTAAAATACCATAGCATCTGTCAGTCCTTGCTGATATTTGAATCTATATTATTAAATATTTAAGTATTGTCTATCATTCCCATGCATCCTTTTGATCAATTGGATGATAAACTTAGCTTTTCTGTAGGGTCTCGGTCTTGTAAAGGTTTTTATCAGCAAAATGAAATCGGTAATTTTTAAAAAGAATTACTTGTAGGTGAAACTTGGACAAAAAAAACTCATCTAGCATTCACAAAGTCACAATTCAATATTGAGAAAAATCGAAGAAGGTATATTTTGTAAATAAACTTCTTTTCGTCTTGATTTTTCTACATACATGAAATAATTAAATGTACAATAAACATGTATTAATACAATAAGCAACTAGCTGTTAAACACTTAATGCATTCTTACTTATGTCGTAGGTAAACAAAATAAATGCTAGTAGTCCTATGCTTATTTATGTATCATTGTCATTTTGCTTAGTTTCTTTTGTTACCTAGTATTCTGACATCGGACTCTGACTTCTTTTAAACTGAGTTTTACTGTGCGTATTGCTGTGTGTTTGTTTATTCTACATTGGCTAGAGGTATAGGGGAGGATTGAGATCTCACAAAACATGTTTAACCCCGCCGCATTTTTGCGCCTGTCCCAAGTCTGAGACTCTTTTCACAAAAAATCTTACGATTAAAATTGATCGTAAGTTATACTGAAATGTGTATGACTTACGAGTATTTTTACTCTTAAGATTTTTTGTGAAAAGAGCCACAGGAGCCTCTGGCCTTTGTTAGTCTTGTATGTTTTTTAATTTTAGTTCATTTAAATGTTTTGGAGTTTAGTGTGACGTCCATTTTCATTGAACTAGTACACATTTTTGTTTAAGGGCCAGCTGAAGCCCGCCTCCGGGTGCGGGATTTTCTTGCTGTGTTGAAGACCCATTGGTGGCCTTGTGCTGTTTTCTGCTCTTTGGTCGGATTGTTGTCTCTTTGACACATTTCCCATTTCCATTCTCAATTTTATTATAGTTAACATCAATGATAAGAGCATTCATCTTCTTTTTAGTGCTTTCTAGATGGACCTTTCGGGAGCCCTTCACGCGAGGCGTTGAATACAGATCATTCAATATTGATAGCTGCAGGTATTGGAGTAACACCAATGGCCTCGATTCTTCAAAGCATAGTCCATACTTTAAGGGAAAGGAAGCTGAAGTGTCCAAATTGTAGTCATTGTTATTACAATAACACGACAGAGACATTTCAGAAATTGAAAAAGGTAAGTGACTTTCGATATTTATGTTTTATGAATTTAAAACTAAGATTTCAATTCGCCGTTTTAGAATCTAAAGAATATAAATGGTAATTAAATTGTTCGTATCCCAAAAGAAAAAACGTCACGTCATTGGTTGAATTTCAATAATTTATTTGGGACGTTTCAAGCCAATCACAGCGTTTTGGTGTACGTTTTTGAAAGTATTTCCCAGAAAGCATTAGATTCTGAAAAGGCGAATTACCCCAGCATATATGTCTTTGAACGGTCTTAGCGGTCTTAGTCTGTCTTGAAACTTTTGGTTTCGTGCTCTCTCTCAGTTAAGTGTTGGTATGTAAGGCTTCCAGAACTTGTGAACCTTAGTTTGCGTGGTGACATTTTTTTCAGATACCGGTGTAAATCTCTGTCATGTGCATGCAATTAAGTATCACACTCTTGTTTTGTATCATAAGATTATTAGTAACCAGTATTTATTACTTCTTTATTTGTATAGCGAAAACTACAAACATATTTATTTATCGAATTCTGAAACCATTTAATTTGCCTCTAATGTAAATTTTCTAGGTCGATTTTATATGGGTAAATAGGGATCAGAGATGTTTCGAATGGTTTACTCATGTGCTAAAGGAACTTGAGACAGAACAGGCCTTGCTAAGTTCAAAGGGAGACAACCTTGTAGATTTACACTTGTTCATGACATCTGCGGTTAAGAAGTCGAACATGGAAGGAGTGGGATTGCAACTGGCTTTAGATTTGGTTCATCGCAGAGAAAGTAAAGACTTTTTTACAGGTCTAGAAGCTCGGACCCAACCAGGTCGCCCTGACTGGGATAAGGTAATGTTGTTGTAGCTTTAACACACTGTATTCCAACTAAGTTTCGCGAGCAATTTGTATTCGCTACTTTCGCGAGTAGCAAAATAACGCGAATATCAATCGTCGTGCATATTTAAAACTCGGATCTTTCCTCATCTAAAAAAAATCAAGTAAATTTAAATCGTCGCAATTGGCCAAAAAGGGCTAAATGCGAAATAAAGTATCCGCGAAAATAAGTTTGATTACAGTATGTGCAAGAACGGTTTGTTTCATAAACGTTTATTTCTATTGTTATATGACACATCCTAACACGACAAAACCTGCTAATATGACTAGCAGTGCTAATGAGAATTTATTTAACTTTATGTATCTTCTCGGAAAGAACTAGATTAAGGTGGTATCATACACCTTGACTAAAATTAATTTGGCTCATTTAATTTTCATAAAATTTTAACAAAATATTTACTTTGACCATTTGACAAAAACATAAAATTTTAAAAACCTTGAATCACACACTTTATCGGAAAAATTTCATTGGATATATAGCAGTTTGACAAACACTAATTTTGACCATTGAGAAGCTTAATATTTCGTTAATAATAGAACTTGATTAAAACGTTTAGCTGATTTTTAAAGAGTTATCTCCATGTAGTGTTATGTACCACCTTAATAAGATTATAACATGTCTAAAGAAAACCAAATGCAAATATTGCAATAAAAGTTGTAAAAACTTAGAATTTAATAACATCTTTTTCGTCGTAGTTGTCAACAATATAATAAACAAGTTGTTAACTTCTATGTCATTTGGTCTCTGGTGGAAAGTTGTGTCATTGTGATCATACCACATCTTCTTATTTTTATAAACATGCATTTTCACATAAGGATTTTGACGGCTTCTTTTTACCAAAACCTGTATTTTGTTCAGATTGTACACAAACAATAAACTATAAAGCATACATGAATGGTAAATATGACTCTTCATTACAAAGATTTTTTTTCTTTATTTTAGCTTTTATCCGAAATCGTATCGAAAAGAAAGGGAAAGAAGAAAGTTTTCTTTTGTGGACCAAAACCAATGTCAGAAAATGTGAAGCAAGTCTGTGAGAAATATCTGATTCCCTTTGCAAAGGAAAATTTTTAATCATTTGCTACAGAGAGTTTTTAATGCGTGTTTATACGTGTATTCCATAGATGCTTTTTTGTCATAATAAACGATAGAATGGTCATTTATAATAATTAGGGAACGACCATTTAACTTCAAAAGGGGGGGGGTGTTATGGTTTTATCCTAAAAATATATTCTGATCCCCAATTTGATGAGAAAAAATATTGTGGTCAAGCTGATGACAAAAAAAAATATTCTGAATCCAGATATTCCCTATACCCAAAAGTATTAAATTTTGAAAAAAATAATTTGATTGATAGTGTCTAAAAATAAAAAAAACAAAAATTCTGATTCAAACAAAAAACCATATCCCCCCCCCCCTTTTGAAGTTAAATGGTTGATCCCTCTGTTTATTATAATTGTGATTGAATGCTGCGTGTAAATATTGCTATATTTATTTCATATTCTATTGTGGACCATAACCAATGTAAGAAAATGTGAAGTAAGCCTGTGAAAAATATCTGATTCCTTTTGCAAAGGAAAACTTTCAATCATTTGTTAGTTGGAATTTTTTATGACGACAGCAAAGGGACTTTTTTATACATATATTCAACATTTCGAAGAAATGTCCGTTGTTATAAACGACATATTTGGCATATAATAAGAATTGATATATTATAATTCTTATTAAAGGCTGCTGTAGATATTGCTCTTACTTTTCTTTTTTGTACGTTATGTACCCCAAAAATATAAACATTATTATTATACCTTACATATATTTCAAACAATTCTATTGGGTAAAACGTTATCACGTGACATGGAATAATTCAGTTAATAACCCTATTATTCACCGGCGAATAACCTTTTTAGTTTGTTGATTTGTACTCATGAAAATGACGTCACAAACGTGAATAAACAAAATGGCAACGTTCAAGTTACAGGAAGCCCATTGATCGAGAGAAGCGGAAATAAGGCCTTTGACGTGCATCTTGTGCCGATGATATCTTTAATAACGGTCCTTTTCAGGGCCATCAATATTTTACAAAAAGAATATACCTTTGTTGTACATACGAGAATTCTAAGACACAAATTACATGTATTTTTGAACGTCAACTTGTGTTAATAACTGACTCAAGTAAGGGTAAGTGCTTTTACAATGATTCAAAATGCCCTTCCACTGTTAGTTCGGTATAATAAAACAATTGTGGTCCCTTAGAAGCGATGAATATCCAAAATTGTCAACCCTTAAAAGTTATTTCACTTCGGGCTGCGCCCTCAGTGAAATAACCTTCTCGTGTTGACAATTTTGGATATTCACCTTTTCAACGGGCCATAATTGTATATTATTGTCATTATTATGCTGTTGTTATTTGTTTTCATTATTGGTTTTTGTTTTTTGTTGAAGTTCTTGTTGAATTTTTGTTTTGAATGTAGCATTAATATTATCTGTTGTACTAATTTTAACGTTTTACAGTTAAATAATATATGTCAGTATGTGTGTGTCTTTTGTCATTATAATATTGGCCATGTCCTCAATTACATTCAATAAAATGCTTTTTGATAAACTGAAAATATAGTATTATATTTTATTACCATAATTGATTTCGTAAAATAAAAAAAATATTTCACTGTAGTATCACTTTTATTAAGGTGCAATAGGAGACAAATATTTTCTACTCTAGACGTAATGATTTTCTATCGTAGACGGAATTATTTTCTACCGTAGACATGATGATTGTCTAACGTAAACGTAATGATTTTCTATTATAGCACATTCCAAATTGGCAAATGTTCAACATAGTTCAATTATCAATTCAAGTAAAAAAAGAATACATTGAATTATCTACCCTTGTTCTCAGTTGTGTCTTCCGTTTAATTAATACTGTGGATTCATTTATTTTCGTGGGTATCAATTTTCGTGGATAGAGAAAAAAAGACGTTTCGTGGTATACGTAAATTCGTGGATCGCTGATTACAAAAAAAAAATCAGATACGTAATTCGTGGATTTCTTTTTGATTTTGGAGATCATATAACCTCCTTGGTTTAATCAATAATAAAACAAACAAAAAAGAAGGAATTCATTGAAAAAGTTTTGAATTGTCAAAATCCTCGCTTGGTCATTCTAGGTTAAAGTGTTCATTGAAAACTTCTATTACAATAATGGACAGAGACAACTAATTATTTGTTTGTTTTACAATTTATAAATTCTTGTCGGAATTTTATAAGGCATTCAAAACTCTATGATTGAAAACTCATTTCCCTAATCACGATATAATTAACAGTCATTTAAGTAAAAGGTGTGAAAATAAATGTTCCTGTCATAAACAATATTACCTACGGGCAATATCCCCGTACTTAATCCTATTGATTTTTTATCACCAGTAAACCAAACTATGACACGGTAATTAACAACTTGCAGTTATTTTCCATGAACATTTTTAATCAATTTCAAAAAGTAAATTATTACCTATATTCGATATATTTATTATTGATTTAATCAAAATACTTGTATCTTCTTTCAATAAAAACACGTGTTATGTTACAATGTTTATCGCTAGTCAACACTATACTAGAACAGCATAACATAACCGGAAATAAATATCCGACTCCATACACATTTCTCGGGACTATTCTTCGTTGAATTCTTAAATTCGTGGTTCGCTGTGACCCACGAAACCCACGAAAATTGGTATACCACGAATAAAAATGAATCCACAGTACTTTGTTTATGAAGTTATTTTAGAATTACAATAAATTTCATGCGTTTGATATTTTGTCTATGACAGAAGCCATATCGGTATTTTCACGAATCGAAGGGTTTTCCCGTAAATATAGTTTATCGTGTATATAAATTGAATCATAGTTTTACTTATTTCTTAATTGATTTATGAGATTCAAACATCAGTTAAAGAGAAGCGGAAGATACCAAATGGACTAATTTTCGCGAGCGATTTATTTTTGCGACCTTCGCAAGTAGAAAAATAACGCGAATATAAATTGTCGCTAATATGTAAAACTTGGATCTTTCCTAATTCAAATACACCAAGAAAATTTGAAAATCGATAACTTTAATCGCCGCGGAGTGGGCTAGAAAGAGCGAAACGCGAAATAAAGTATCCGCGAAAATAAGTTGGTTTACAGTAACTGATAACGCCATGGATAAAAACGAAAAACGGCTAAAAGACAAACAACAGTCTAAAAAATTCAGCGTAGAAAACTAAAAATCGACCAAAACAAACTCTAATAAAAACCGGGTGATCGCAGGTGCTCCGGAAGGGTAAGCAGATCTTGCTCAACACGTGGCACTCGTCGTGTTGCTCAAATAGTACAAAAAAGTTCTCTAAACTAGTACTGCCTTAATTTACATAACTAAATCATTAAATTTAGAAATTATCCTATTTACAAAGTTGACCATTATTACACCCACCACTATAAAATTATCAACTACAAATGTACTACAGAGGGTGTCTACATATCCTGCTTTAGTTTTGTACTCTTGGTATTACAGCTTTTTACTGTACACAATGTTTGTTAAATAATGAAATGAAAAGAAACCATCTTGATATTCATGCATTCATTCAAACTACATGAATTTTTCATAAATGATATAGAACCTTTTGTGAACAAGCTTGTATAATTGTGGATATTTTACATACCCCCACCTAAAAGAATGTTCACTCATTTAATATTTTTGAGGTATTGATAAGTGCATATAAATTATTATACAGATGTGAAGAGCATGCAGGGGCGGATTCAGGCGGGGGCTTGGCGGGCGTGCGCACCCCCCTAATATTTGCAAAGCAGTGGTTGTCCTAAGCTTAATAAAGTTTCTGAAGAGACGACGAAGATTAATGCACACACTCTAGAAGAATATTTCGATAAATTTACCTAAAAAAAAATTAAGTGTTCGCCCCCGCCCCCCCTAAACCTAAAATCCTGGATTTGCCCCTGGCATGTGATAAAACATAAATGGATAATGTGCCCATGGGACAAAGATGATGTCCCCCTTTTGGATATAACGTTATAAAGGGCATAACTCGAGAACGGTAAAATGTTTGATCTTGATCTGTATTTTGTGGTGTATAAGTTTCATAACATTTGGTTAAGGCAAACTAAAGTTTAGAGAAAGGAAACGAATTTCGGGACGTACGTACGGACGGAGGTACAGACCGACAAGGACATCACTTAATGCACCCTCCGGGTGCAAATGTTAAAATTAAAATAGCAATACTTTAACATGTAAGTTATGCAAATATTCAATGTCGATGAACCATGACTGAAGGTACATGGCTAAACAATCTCCATGGAGTGAGATGTGCCAATGCTAATACAACTGCATACCAAATACCATTGACTTATTATAAGTCGTTCCTTTTAAACAAACCTAAACACAAACATTAACTTGTAAACTATGTAAAAGTTTAAAAGTCAATGAATCATGATCAGGGCTGGGGCTATATAATCTCCATGGAAACGATACTTGCAATTGCCAATAAATTTGCATACCAAATATCATTGACTTAACATTAGCAGTTCATCTTAAACTGATCTAATCACAAACTAATACATGTAAACTAAGCAAAAGTTTCAAAGTAAATAGACCATGACTGAGGGGGAGGGGCAAAATATTCCCCATGGAAATGAGATGTGCTAATGCTTATACAACTGAACACCAATTAACATTGGCCTACCACTAATGGTTCCACTTGAACTGACCTAATCACAAACTAATACATGTTAACTTAGCAAAATTTTCAAAGTCTATAGACCATGACTAAGGGGGTGGAGCCAAATAATCTCCATGGAAATGAGATATGCCAATGCTTATACAACTGCATACCAAATATTATTGACCTTCCACTAGTGGTTCCCCATAAATTGACCTTCTCACAAACTAATACATGTAAACTATGAAAAGTTTCAAAGTCAATAGACCTTGACTGAGGGGGCGGGGCCAAATAATCTCCATGGTAATGAGATGTGCCAATGCTTATACAACTGCATACCAAATATCATTGACCTACCACTAGTGGTTCCCCATAAATTGACCTAATCACAAACTAATACATGTAAACTATGAAAAGTTTCAAAGTCAATAAACCTTGACTGAGGGGACAGGGCCAAATAATCTCCAAAGTAATGAGACGTGCCAATGCTAATACAACTGCATACCAAATATCATTGACCTACCACTAGTGGTTCACCATGAACTAGACCTAATCACAAACTAATACATTGTTGACGCCGTCGCCGACGCCGGAAACAGCATACCTATGTCTCGCTTTTTGACTCCGTCAAGGCGAGACAAAAACGAGAAACGAGAAACACGTATGAACCACATCAACAAACGACAACTACTGAACATCAGATTCCTGACTTATATACATATAAATAAGAAGATGTGGTATTAGTGCCAATGAGACAACTCTCCATCCAAGTCACAATGTGTAAAAAGTAAACAATTATAGGTCAAAGTACGGCCTTCAACACGGAGTCTTGGCTCACACCGAACAGCAAGCTATAAAGGGCCATAAATGACTATTGTAAAAATAATTCAAACTGGAAAACCAACGGTCTCATCTATATAAAAAAAAGAGAAACGAGAAACACTTATGAACCACACCAACAAACGACAACCAGTGAACAACATGCTCCTGATTTAGGACAGGTGCATAAAAATGCAGCCGGTTTAAACGTTTTAACAGGCGCCAACCTTCACCCTAACCTGAAACAGTGGTGTAACATTACAGCTGTTGAAATAATCTGATTAAAATGAAGGCTTTTTCCCGTCACAAGAACTTATAAAGTATATAATTCTACTCCAGAAAAACTGGCCCCTCATTTCAGATAAGTCTGACTATCGAACTCACTAGTGATATTGATTAATGGAAATCTGCTTTCAAATTGGAAGAGGATCCAACAAAATATGAAGGCGCATAATTGGCGACAGCAAAATTATGATGGACGATTGATTGATGGATCGGTGATTGCTTTACGCCGCACCAGCACACAAAGGCTGTATCGCGGCGATATGGCAGACGAGAATTGACGGACGGACGAACGGTTCAAAAACATTTAACCTTTGCAACTTCGTTTCATGCGGTATAATAGATTCACATTATAAGTCCTACATTTGTTCAAAAAATTATTTTTAAGATCTTACATGGTCATATCGACACAAACAAACTTAGAAATCGGTACGGAGGACCAATCAATGCCAGGCAATTAAACTTTTTTTTTTCTAGAAAACGAATTATAGTATAAAAAATAACGTTATGTATTGAAGACTCATAAATCGATGTTTCCGTTTTGGTGGGGAAAAAAAAAGAACTGACAAATATTGAATAGTTTACAGGGTTTCAAATTAACATTTGGTACTGGAAAGTCCAGGACCTTTGACACTCCAAACTGAAAGGTCCACAACCTAAATCCTAGGTCCTAATTTTACATGAAATATTTCATATCTCAATAAGATACAAAATTAATGTGATTTTGGAGTAAGGTTAGTTTGTTTCATCATATTTGAACTGCATGTGATGTTTCGTTTCTCATATAATGGGCTATCCAGCGAATAAAAAGTTTACAACCTTCAATATTGAAGTACTACTTACACATCAACACCATTTTTGCACTGGATTTCAAGAATAAATTCATAGTCACTGAAGGGTTTCCCTTTTTTTGCAATACTGTATGCAGTGTTGAAAAGAACCTTAATTATATCTATTTAACTGATCAGGCTTACATTGCTGCTTGAGATTTAGTGTCTGACAATTAATCTTTAGATTTAAAATTTGGGTCACTTTCATGGATCCACTGCTTTAAACAAGATAAATGCTGTGGTGTCACTTCGTATATTTTTATTGGGTCTATTTTAAGATTTTGTGTTCCCCTTACAAGTGCACTTTCTTTTTCTAAATGGGTGGGGCACTTCTGGCAGTATGTGCATGACATTAGACCAGTTGATTCATCAAAATATAGCCACGGTTCGATCGATTTTCCAGTGGGGCTTAAACATGTTAAATGTCCGTTCCCGTTTATCACGATCGCATTTTTTGGTCTTTAGTGAGATCTTCATTTGATTTCTTTTGAAGACGTTGAAGACACAGGCACTTGTTTCTATCCATAGGAAGGTTGAATATCCTTCTATATTTATGGATAGTCGACCTTCCCATGAATAGAAACAAGTGCCTGTGGTTGAAGACCGTTCATAATCTTCAGGCTTTCTCTGTGAAGACGTGACACCAAAGTGAAACGGACTCATTTTGTTCGAAAATGTCTAAATGATTAAATATTTGTCACGTGACTTCTCGCAACTATTTGTAACCTTGTGTTTCCAAGAAATACAAAGTTAAAAATAACTTTTATAACTTGTCGGCAAGGTCAGGAATGAAACATTTTTTATCTCAATTTCAAAGCAAAGATCATTTTTATTTCCTTTAAAATCGAAGGTCCGTCGGGCGTACATGTAGCTAAAACAAAACCAAAACGAAAGTCCGATTGCAACAGTGAAAGGTCACGGACCTCGGACCACCGCTAATTTGAACCCCTGGTTTATAAAAATGTATAAAACGTAAATGGTATTCATAATTTTGAAATCAAAGTATCAAATGATTTACTGAATAACTTCAAATCATCCCAAGTAGAACAAATTCTGCTTTATTTTTTTCACTGTTAATCTGTTTCCTTCTCTCATAGTATTGATTGGCTGTATCGGATGACTGTACATGACTGTTTGTATCACATGATTGTACATGACTGTTTGTATCTCTTTGTATCGATAATTGCACGTTATGTTCAATCGATGCTATAAATATTTCATGATCTTTTTTTCTCCTTTCTGCTTTTTCTCTGAAAAAAATATTTTTTAATTATATTTATATATTATTACACAGCTTTTTCCCCGGAATTCCATGTAGTACGGTGACTTCTAAACTTGGTTCACCTTGTGGTTTAAAGACTTTTTTTTGCTCCCTGTTGAAGGCCTCACTGTGACTTTAAGATGAAAAAACAGCAATAAAAGCGCTGTTCCTTTGCTTTTTGTTTGTTTTTTTACTGTGCATGTACTGATTTTGTATCATGGATCATTGATAACCCATATCCTTTGTTTTTTTATTATAAAACATCATTATTTATAAATGGATAAAAAGCAGAGTCACTTTAAGGATGTACTTAGGTGAAATAAAAAAAATCTTGAATTTAAAATTGATACTATAAGTACATGTAAATTTATATCTGGACTTTTCCCGTTTGGATGTGAATTCTTTGTTAACGTAGGGAGTTCTTTTGGCCATGAATGATGATTAAATGTGCAGTCACGTCCGATTTGGTGAGGAAATTAAACTCAATTCCGCGCATAGTGAGAGTGATATGCTATCTTGCACGTTAATGTACCCTTGTAACAAAAGTTTAGTGATCCTTTAAGTTATTTGACCTGTTACAAGGCAAAATATATGTTCCTACCTTTCAATCCTTCATTTTTCAATAGCATTTCAAAAGTTCTCGCCCTTCCATCCAGCAGAAAAGCCTTGCAGAGCTCATTAATTTTACGTCCTAAACATGCATGAAATATTTGACACTGGACGTTAAGCAACCAACAAAAACAAACTTACTAATTCTTTTTCTTGTCAATTTGTTCTCGTCCTGTTCTTCCTTAAAATATCTGCCACTGGATGTTAAGCAAACATCAATTATTCAATGAATCTTAGGTTCTAAAGACAATCGTGCAAAATGTAATGCTACAAGGTTTTAATTATTATCCCTAAACATGCTGTCATGGAGAAAAATAACACTCAGATACATCTTTATGGCCAACGTAGATTTTTCTATAATAGTGTATTTTTATGAATCCTCTTTTTTTATGCCCCCGCCGTAGGCAACGGGGGCATTAAGTGTTAACCTCCACCGTTCGTCCGGCCGTGACGTCCGTCCGTCTATCCGTCCGTCCCAGGTTCTTTTTCGCACTCCAACTTTAGTTTGCCTCATGTAAATTTTATGAAACACAATGCTGAGAACAAAAACACGCAGACAGAGTTTGAATTTTGTTTGTGAGTCATCCACCGTTCTAGAGTTATGTTCCTTTTTAACTTGGAAAATTGCAAAGCTTGAGCGGGGGTATTCGTGTCTCCAGACTCATTCTTCTTTATTTTTATTTAAAGTCTTGGTATGTACTTCAGTTTGTAATTTGTATTGATCTAATATATTGCTTACCTTTTCCTTTTCACGACACAGTAAATGATGATAACAAGAAGTTGGAACAAGACAGCAACCCCAAGAGAGATTCCGACAACAAATAGGTCATTCTTTCTAATATCACCTAAAATATGTTAATTCATCCAAGTACTAGTACCAATTTTCTTCTTTGGCACTTATGCGAAGGCATCACTTAGTGGGGACTGCTTTCTATGGATTATTCAGGGCTAATTTTGTGCAATTTTAACACTGAAGTGTGTTTAGTCTGTGTTCACTCAAATGTGACATAAAATTGTGTCAATATTATGTCACCGGTAGGCCATGACTAATCCCTACCATGGTCGTATTTACTGGTTCGTGTACAATTATATCATTGGCCTCCATGCTGCATCAAATGTAATAAAATGAATTGGTTGGAACATTGATGAAAGGAAATAAGATCGCCATTTCAAGATGTAAGAAAACTTGAAACAAATAACTTACACGTGGCTTGTTATCAATTTGCACGAAACGTGACGAATTAAAAACTGCTGCATTTTATGCGCACGATTACATGTGGCATGTTAACCCGAGTACAATGTTGGTTTTGTTTGTTTGTTTTGTTTTTAAACATGAAATAATAAGGTATATGGCTTTCCGGTCGGTTTGTTCGTCTGTCCGTCTGTTCGTTCTTCCGTCCTGTATAAGGCTTAAGTTTTTGTATAAGGTAGTTTACCTCTGGTCACACCAACTACCATGATGTGGAAGATATATATATGCTACAGCAAATGCTGTTTTTGGTCCAGATGTTGCTGTTCAGTGAACATTATATTGCGATAGTGAAAAATTAGAAAATTTTATCAAAAATTCGGTTAACGTATTTTATCCGTGTAATCATGGTCACATAAGTTGAATAACTGCGAGTACTTTGTTTCCTATCATGATTTCCTTGATAGAGGATTGCTGCTCACAAGGAAGCTATTAAACCAAGAGTTTCAAATGGTGAAGTTGAAGTCATCCCTTCTTAAATTTTACGGAAGCCATCACGAGTTGGTTGACCGTTGTGGAATAACCGTTTCACAGATGATATCGGATATGTTCCTTATGTCGTAACTACAATACCCTCCCTTTTCACGAATGTGACTTACCGAATTAGACTATTTACCGGATTTGTAATAACATAAGCAACACGACGGGTGCCACATGTGGAGCAGGATCTGCTTACCCTTCCGGAGCACCTGAGATCACCCCCAGTTTTTGGTGGACTTCGTGTTGCTTAGTCTTTGGTTTTCTATGTTGTGTCATCTGTACTATTATTTGTCTGTTTGTCTTTTTATTTTTGGCCATGGCGTTGTCAGTTTGTTTTCGATCTATGAGTTTGACTGTCCCTCTGGTATCTTTCCTCCCTCTTTTAAGATCGTTTATTTGTTTGTTTGTGTCGTACATCTTTTTGTTTGTTGTTATTTGTGTGTGTTTGTGTCAATGTGATGACTCAAACCTATTTAAATTGTGTGTAATGCTTTGTTTTCTTTTATCGGTCTATTACGTACACCACTATCCGATCACGATGATTTTGTCCATTTTTATATTTTCAATAACCCACACAGCCCATTTGTTTGTGCTTGTACATTGTAAAGATAATCAAGTCTACAATTGATTTGTAGAAAAAAAAAACTTACATTTTGTTCCATAATTATCTGGGTAGAACAAACTGTATCCCTGTCCACGCAAATCAATTGAAAAGAGCACGGTGTGTTGTTCGGGGTCTGACCTTTGTTTTTCCTTTGTAAATGTATGTTAACACACTTATGGATCACTGTTTGACCTTTAACGACCTTATAGTATAAGCTACCAAAGGCCCCGGAATGACAAAAATGTGAACTATTTCAAACAAGAATTCAATCCCAAAACCTTATTATGATAAAACAACAAACTTATAACAAATAAGGCAGAATTCAACCAACGATAAGTATTGAACATCCGGCTTCTGACGAGGAGCACGCACATAAAAGAGGGTCTAGATAAGGGTTCCTTTATTTCTGTATTCTTTACTGTATTTCTTGTCAGTTCGTTTTTCTTTATTCTGTATAGTTGTAGTTTTAGGACCCAATTACCCGGTATTATCTATGTGTTTTTTGTCCTATTTTTCTGTATTCTTTTTGTCTTTGTCCATTTTTCTGTAGATATGGCCTACTATTCGTTATTCTATAAACCCAATCCAGACCTTCACAAAAACTCTGGGGAGGATAAACATGCTTATGAGTGCTAAACCATTCATCTAACCATAGACAGTGGTGTTACAGCACCACACATGAACAAAGTATAAATTTATTTTGAAAAGTATTGACGCATCAAATCGGTAATTTTAAAATTGACAATTATGAAAGTAAAATAACAAAAATACCGAACTCCAAGGAAAATTCAAAACGGAAAATCCCTCATCAAATGGCAAAGTCAAAAGCTCAAACCCATCAAACGAATGGAAAACAACTGTCATATTCCTGACTTGGTACATGCATTTCCAGAAAATGGTGGATTAAACCTGGTTTTATAGATAGCTAAACCTCTCACTTGTATGACAGTCGCATAAAATTCCATTTTATTGACAACAAAGTGTGAACAAAACAAACAGACATAATACATGTAGGTAAAAATGTCAAAAATAGAGGTACAGCAGCCAACATTGTGTTATAATCTTAATCACTATAAAATCAAACAAATATGTCAACATATATATTCATTCCTCCTGCATTATGAAGAAATAAAGTTTACTTAGTATTTTACGATTAATAAATAATAAAAATACCACCTTTGAAGAAGCTTTTTGCCATTTTAAAGTGTAAGTAAAAAAGAAAAATAACGTGAAGGAATTTTAAATATAAAGATCAGCAAGATGATGATGATGATGATGATGATGATGATGGATGGCTGCTTAAGGTCCAGCGGCAAATTAATATCCATCTTCAGGACGATAACATGTTAATGCAATATGAATATTAACCCTGCTTTGTACTAGACCGACAAGCTGAACCGAATTTTTAACGTGCTAGTTCACAAGGGTATTAGTCACAAGGTAACAGTCCACAGGAAGACATGTCACCATGCCCGGACACATTATTTTGACTCCGAGCCGACCAGTCTTTGCTCTTACTCCTAAATGCCGCGTGCCTATAGCGGAGAAGCAGCAATTGCCAATTTTAAAGCCAGGCCGGGGTTCAACCCACGACCTCCTGCACTCGAGGCGAACACGCTACCACGACACCACCGAGGCGGTATATCAGCAAGAAAGACATTACTTATTTCATGCAACTTGGTATAAATAACATCTATCAAGTATCCTTTCCTTTGCTGTAATTGCAAAGTATCAATCAAAAACATAAATATCAATACGTACCCATAGTGTGTAACGTTAAACGTTCTATCCGTTACCTGTCATATACTGTCGAGATGCACATCTAATTAAACGCCGTTTGAAACAATGGTGTGTACTTAAACATCAAAACAAAGAAACAATTTAACTTGTTATCAATAGATCGCGATATTAAAAATATGTCGTTATATTGTATGTTACATTCAAATTTTAACACAATGTATCTTTTTTAAACTACGTTCTCGCTAAGTAATCGATAGAAAATCAATAATTTCATTTCTCAACACATTAAATAGGATCGATTTGAACTGGAAACTGCTTGTATTACGCTACACTCAAACAAAGTGTAGTAGTCAGCCGAGAACCAGCTAAGGATCGATTCTGAATTGTAGTGAGATGTTTGAATACGTAGCACTCATTAACAACTTATAATTAAGAAAACTGTATTACATTTTATTGATTATTTGCTTAACATCTAACGTGAAATAGTTCATGCATATGCAGACGAGAGCAAATACAATAAATTTAATCGGTGCGTTCTGTAAAGTTACCTGTCAAAAAACCTTGTTTCAAGGATTTTTAAAAATGCAGAGAGCGTGGCATACCCCTACACAAAGCGCATAGAATGTATTGTCATCATTTCGATCGGACGTGGATGAGTTTTTATACATCCAACACAACCGAATTAACTGTTGGAATAGAGAATATGTCTATTATGCTTCAGTAAACCCTAAGGGTCCATATTATAAGTAATCAGGGTATCAATAAAGACATAAACAATATTAAAATTCGTACATTATAGGAAAATATGAAATCTATTTGTACAAACTTATATTAAGAAATGGGAAGAAAACCGAGGATCGTCAATTTTTTTTTTCTTTTGGGTATGAATTTTATTTGTTTCTACAATGTACGAAATTCAATATTGTTTTTATATTGAAATTTACTTTTACGCTTGTAGATTTAGATTGTTAACTACCTAACCGTTTAGTTTGAAGTACAGATGACCATATTTCTATACCATCGTGAATAGTTTTTGTCCCTAACATTAGGCTTTGCGCATTCCCAATAAGGGAAATCTACAGGCGCATCGCACTTTGCAAACACAGTAGGTTTAGTTTGATATAAAAACCTTAATGAACAAATAAAACATATATGTATATGTTTTAATACAGATATTGCGTGTTTCGGGCTGCTATGCAGCTCACACTTATTTGTCTAGAGTTTGACCGTTTTAATAGTTTTATCCCTTAAAAGAGACGCCCGGGGATGCGACATACGTGTAACCTATTAATTATTTTTCCATTCCAACGTACATATTATTACTATGCGGTATGGGTTTTGCTCATTGTGGAAGGCCGTACGATGACCTATTGTTGTTAACTTCTACGTCATTTGGTCTCTGATGGAGAGATGTCTCATTGTCAACCATACCACATCTTCTTATTTTCATATATAAATTCTTTTGTAATGAGATTGACTATATTTTTCCAGTTGAAACTTTTGTTCTGGTAAACGAAAGATAACTCAATTTTTACCATGGAACGATACACCATTTAATGTTTTTAAGAGACTAATCTATTATGATATGTCGCTTGTCCAAGCCTCTTTTGTTGTATTACATGAAATATTAATGTTTTAAGAGACTAATCTATTATGATATGTCGCTTCTCCAAGCCTCTTTTGTTGTATTACATGGAATATTAATGTTTTTAAGAGACTAATCTATTATGATATGTCGCTTCTCCAAGCCTCTTTTGTTGTATTACTTGAAATATTAATGTTTTTAAGAGACTAATCTATTATGATATGTCGCTTCTCTAAGCATTTTATGTTGTATAACATGACATTTTAAGATGACATTTTTAAACAGATTAAATTGAAAATGAAGAATAACGGATTTACTTATAAGCATATTGTTCATAGTCTTTTTAGCTGACGTTTTTCATTTGCGTTGATCAGCTTGAGTTATCAAGGTCGGTGATTTCATAAACTGTTTCACGATTCTGATCCCGAGACCGATTGTGATCAGCTTCGCCAGGTATTTCTACTTGTTTACCAGATACACGATTTGGAATATTCCCTGTGTACAGTAATTGATTCTGATTATCCCCTTTTGTTGGAAGAGTCGATGACCGGCTCTGAATATTGTCATTGTTAATATCGCTAGTGGTCGATGACCGAACTTCTAAATATTGATTGTTGTCACTTTGATTGTCTTGATCTTGATTGTAAATGTGACTGTCTCTTCTTGCTTCTGGAGTCTCGTAAGTTTCTTGGTTTTCCTCATTTCCTACCATTCGTTGTATTGAAACTATAATATCTGTGCTGTAAAATTGTAATGTATATAAAAGAGAATTTGCGATTTCAAAATATTTAAACGTCCAATCAAACGACACCATCTTCTTACTACATGTTCATACCCAAAAAAATAGAGCAAACATACAAAGCATGCTTAAACAGCTTGACTTTGTATGTTAGCAAAATATTCTGTAGCAATTAAGACTACAATTTTGAAGGAAAACAACAAGGAATGAGTTTAAAAGATAATACAAAAGTGGTTTGCTTATTAAAGATAAGAAAAAATACTGCCAAATAGAATAGGAAATTAGTAGCAAGCAAATACATCTATATTCAATTCTACAATAATATGATTTTGGGCTAGGAAGGTAATCTATATATTTAGGGGCCAGCTGAAGGACGCCTCGGGGTGCGGGAATTTCTCGCTGCATTGAAGACCTGTTGGTGACCTTCTGCTGTTGTCTGTTCTATGGTCGGGTTGTTGTCTCTTTGACACATTCCCCATTTCCATTCTCAATTTTATTCATACATTAAGAGCCTCTACTGCAACACAATGTTAATCCTAGATATTATATTGTGAGGGGATTCAATATATTTCAGGTACTAGGTTATATCTCTGTTTTAGCTTGTTTGTTTTTGTTTTTGTGTTTGGTTTGATTTGGTTTGGGTTTTTTTTATCTGTTAGAGGGAGGTAGAGGAGTTTTTTTTTTATATAATTATAAAATAAGAAAAAATGGTAAGAATGTCACTGAGACTGCTTTGAAACAGAGTCAATATAACGTGGATATAAGAAATGATATGTCACGTACGGACTTCAACAATGAGCAGAACCCAATTTTGAATATTTTTCTTGCGTTTAGAGAGAAGCAAAATGTCTTTTTGATCGATATACATGTAGCCATTTCAATTGATATTAATAGTGTGTCGTTTTATGTTGTAATGTTACACTTCTGTCTCGTGTTACACTACTGTCTCGGGTTTTTATGCAGCTGTTCCAAGTCAGGAACCTGTTTCAGTGGTTGTCGTTTGTTGATGTGGTTCTTAACTGTTTCTCGTTTTTCGTTTTTTATATAGACTAGACCGTTGGTGTTCATGTTTCAGTTGTTTTACGCTAGTCATTTTGGGGCCCTTTATAGCTTGCTGTTCGGTGTGAGCCAAGGCTCCGTGTTGAAGGCCATACTTTGACCTATAATTGTTAACATTTTATACATTGTGACTTGGATAGAGAGATGTCTCTTTGGCACTCATACATCATCTTCTTATTTATATAACACTGAATCTTAAGATAAGATCAAAAGCTACAGTTTTAATAACTTAATAACAATCGAAAAGTCTAAGGCGTACAATGGAATCGTTGTCCGTATTATATCGAGTGAAACGACAACCACTAAAACATCTTTCAATTCATATATATATATAAAACAAAACTTCTCCTGTAAACAAGTTGTGAAAAATACATCGTTTTTTTTCTGTAATGCTTAATCAGGTGATAAACTTTCAATGGTGTTTTTATACTGTTTGTAAAGTGTCCGTGCATCAGACCGTACTGCACTGGTTACCGGAATTTTGGATACACCAAACCAGGCACTTCATATCTGAGAAACAGGCAATATATGCCATCAATTTTAGAATTCACTCATACATTTTTGTATTGTTCAAAATTATCAGTAAATTATGTGTTCTACAAGGATCACCAGTCCTTCACCTTTCATCTGATACCTTAATTACTCAAATATATGCTACATAGTTTTAGATTTACACCTACATGTATATGCGTAGGAACTATTTTGTTTAAAATATGTACTACTTTCCAGTATGTTCTTTTTTGACCGGGCCCGATTAGGTTGTGTTACATCTGACAAAGTCTATCCAAATTTATTTTTGCAAAGAATTCCGCTCAAGCCGGTGCTAGGGCCCGTCTTAAACTTGCAGTGAGGTGAGAGTTTGTTTTTTTTTGCTCCGTGTTGAAGGCCTAACTGTGACTTAGAGATGAAGAACAGCAACAAAAGCGCTGTTCCTTTACTTATTGTATGTTTTTTGTTTTTGCTGTGCATGTACTGATTTTGTGTCATGGAGGGATACCCTATATCCTTTGTTTTTCTATTACTTACTTTGATTTAACATGGATGTATATTATGATGACAAATATAGTCAGAGTAGCAATTCCAGCCACTGATCCCCAGACGACAATAAGAATGTCAAATCCATCGTACACTGACACGCCTACAATGAAAATTAATTTGTATACTATATGGACTATATTGCATCGAAGGATAATCTAGATCAAGATTAATATTTCAAGGTAGCAGATATCAATAAATTGAGATTTTCTGTTTCTGTATATGCTTATGCAGAAGCCTCAACACATCATTGTGGATAATAAAACCTACACCGGAAGATCATTTCAGGGACCAAGACCGTCCAATCTTATTTTCTCTCTCTCTCATTAAATCGTAAAATTAAAAAAGAATTAAAAGATATTTATTTTACTGTAATGCAAAACTATATTTTAACCGGTCAACACCGTCTCCAGAGTCCTATATAAAAAAAGTATTTAAAGCTAAGGACATGGTGCTCCTGATATATCGTCCTGAACATGCATGAACTATTCGCCACTGAACTTAAAGTGAACAACATAAAAAATGATCTATGTATTTTCGTAATCTGTTATTTTATGAACTACTGTATGTCCTAATTGTATTGTGTTATATTTGTCACAAAAGTGGGACGAAAGATACCACAGGGACAGTCAAACTCATAGATCGAAAACAAACTGACAACGCCATGGCCAAAAATAAAAAGACAAACAGACAAATAATAGTACAGATAAACTTGACTATGTGTAGTTTAACGACACTACAGTTTTAAATAGTATTTGAGGAAACAAAAGGTTTAAATCATTCCGCATTCTTTTTTGAATATTTAATTTTTATCAGGAAATAATAAACCGCCTTCTCGTCTTAATTATAATGCACTTTGTGGAAATGTGACGTGAATCATTATAGCCATTTGTTACATAACACACGAAATGAAAATTATGTACTTTACGGAACGTTGACGGTTAATGGTTTTGTAGATTTTTGGGGTCGTCTTTTGCTCTATGTACTAACTATAATATATAGATATCTAAGTTTTCGGTCCATATTTTGCCTTCAGCATACCCAATAAAAATAAATATAGAAACGAATATGTAAAAAGCAACAGAATGGTTATTTTTCTTTAAATTTACTACCACGGGGCCATTACATTTTCAAATGTAATGTGTTATTTATAACTAATTGTTTTAGGGCCGTTGTTAATGAAACATAAATGTTCGTTTTACTTTGTTAATATTCTATTTTTTTTTTACTTTTTGTTTGCCTTTTCCGTCCGAAATTGAATGTAACTCTTTAAGAAATAGTCGTAACTAAATAAAAATAAGGAGATGTGGTATGATTGCCAATGAGACAACTGTCCACCAAATCGAAATGATGTGTATGTAAGCAACTTCTCAATCTTATCCCAATCTAATTGCGCATCATGTACATTTGCAATCACTAAAGATGTTTTTCTCTTTAAGTTTGATTTTGAATTATTATATAAGTTAGTGTAAATGTATCATTCTGCAATTACACCATAGCTGTCACGAAGCAACAAAAGGGAGGGTGTAAATTTTTATAAAACAATGGTTGCATCCCCTAAGAAGAAAGTGGACTCCTAGTAGATTTATCTATTCAGTGTAAGCCTCTTTTGTTATAAGCTTCCCTTTTTTCTTTATGACTGTAACTGTGATATACAAAAAAGACTCCCCCGCCAAACAGTTAAACCAGTGATATGGTGGGGCGACATTTTGCATGTGCACAATGTATAAGAACCGTAACGCATCTACGTCCGGTCGAAATTGGAACGTTAAATCCGATGTCTCATGTAAGGAGATTGTCACTTGTTCCGCATGTTAAAGTTCACTTGAAACAACTCTATGATGTACTGCTAGTAGTCCTTTTTTAATTTATGTTATCATTGTCATTTTGCTTAGTTTCTTCTGTTACCTATTCTAACATCGGACTCGGACTTTTTAAACTGCGTTTTACTGTGCGTGTTTGTTTATTCTACATTGGCTAGAGGTATAGGTGAGGCTTGAGATCACACAAAACGTGTTTAACCCCGCCGCATTTTTGCGCCTGTCCGAAGTCAGGAACCTCTGGCCATTGGTCTTGTATGTTTTTTTTTTAAATTTCGGTTCATTTATATGTGTCGGAGTTTAGTGTGACGTCCATTTTCTATGAATTAGTAACAGCTTCCAATTGCTTTTGAGCATTTCCATATGCTCAAGTCGATGGGTGTTTCGGATAAGCGAGAATTCTGATATAAGAATTTTGGTAGGCGACATTTTTTTTTTATTTTAACTCAACACGATAAGGTATTTAAAATATATGCAAGTCAGATTTCTTCCTTTCATGCACATCATGTGTTAAAAAAGGAAGACAAGATCGACAATGTACATATGAACAGAAACTAATGTTATCCGAATTTGGATAGAAGACATAAAACACATTACCAAGCAGAAATAAGTGCTCTTATCCAAATTCGGATAAGAAGAATAGATGACCTACCTCACAGAGTTTAGTATGCAATGAGTATCCGTATCCACATTCGGATAGGTATATCTTTATTCAATATTAATTCGTATTGGTTGTTATCCGAATTCGGATAAGAAGATAAAATGAATAATACATATGAGTACCACTCAAAATTTTTTTTCCCGAATTCAGAGCAAAATAATATATTTATATATTAAGCAGCTTTTAGTTATTATTAAAGAGTATACATTAATTTTCTTATCTTAATTAGTTGATGATTGATTGATTGTTGCTTGTTTAACGTTCAGTGGCAAATATTTCATGTACATACAAATGAAAGCAAATTATTGAAGGCAGAGCAACGATTGGTTCTACAAACTGATTTCCTGAAAAAAGTGCAATTCTTTCGTTTGTCATTGGCAAATGCGAGTATCATAGAGAAGAGGAGAAGAAAACACCACCCAACATACCATCAAAAAGGACAATGAGGACCTCGCCACGGCGGTTGAGTATCATAAAACTTTCAGGTCAGGCCGATTACATTGAAATAACGGACAATTTGACGACAGATAATCCAGAGATATTAAATGAAAATATACTAGTAAATCGACTAATCTATTGTTTATTATAATTCCATTCCAGGCGAATATTTACATAATGTACAGTTTACAAAATATATGATTCGAAGATTCACATAGAAAAATGTTAGGCACTCACGGCACATTACCTTCACAAGTTACCACAAACGGATTTCGTTACATTCTGTATGACAAATATATAACAAATATAAGGGTCCTCCAAAGATCTGCCAAAATCTGCATAGAATAACATAATTTATATTGTATTGTTCCTTCTCGCCTTGAATTCTTTCAACTCTAAAACAGAAAGTCCTTATATACACATTGTCACCAAGAATGCACCAACTCGGCACCAAGAATTTAATCAAAATTCTACTTGTTAACCTTACCTAAATTGCCACAAAATATGCACCAAAAAAGCGCCAACCTATTAATACATAGTAAAACTCTACTTATAATAACTTAACACATGCTAAAAGGCTTTGACCTCTATGAAATCGGATACATTACACACCACTGATAACTATGATAAAATGAATTGTCAGGAACAAATGTTATTGTCTCTGCTAAATCACGGTAATGTCTACAAGGTGTTATTACTAGTATAACGAGCGTTCTGTTTCTTCAATTGTTTTTGAATTTCATCTATTACAGTTATTGCCAAATGTTCAAAGTCTATTGTTTCTGCATCTATTCCTGTTGAATAGGACACAGTGCTGTTTCTGGTTGTCTCCATACTCCCATCCCTGTAGATGTATGCGATATCCTTCTTATTTGAGTCAAAATCTCTGTAGTTGTAGTTGTGTCCACCACCGTAGCTTCTGGAGAAGAATTGTCATCTTCACTGTCACTAACAGCAATACAGTTTGTATATTCAATAGGAGTTTCAGACTCTAACTCTTCAGCAATAAGTCTTAATTCATGTGATAAATCTGTTTACTCATCGTCAGAAAGTCCCTCTGGTGAATTACATATTGTAAAACTGAAATCCTCTGCTGACGCAATTAAGACCAGATCAACATTTAGTTCTTGTTCTTCTAATGCCACATACCACAAGACACATTTTTAGAAGTAGATTGGTTAGGAATTTCATCAAAATCAAAGTCATCCTCTGATATATCGGAATAAGCATCAACTTTATCACTTAAATTTTATTTCTGTTTAAATCTTCTTTTAAAACACGTCATCTATCTGGTTATCCATATTTTGAAATATATAAAGTCACTATTTGTTCTTGTTGGATCCCACTTCTGGCAACAAAAATGCCACGGCGGTCGAGTATCATAAAACTTTCAGGTCAGGCCGGGTACATTGAAATAACGGACAATTTTATGACAGATAATCAAGAGATGTTAAATAAAAATATATTAGTAAATCGACTAATCTATTGTTTAATAAGTCCATTCCAGACAAATATTTATACAAAATATATAATTCGAAGATTCACATGGAAAAATGTTAGGCACACACGGTACATCACTTTCAAAAGTTACCACAAACGGATCTCGTTACATTCCGTATAAAAGAGAAGTAAGCAACAGTGTCCAATACGGTGCACACAAAATATAAAAACACGCATGCGGACAAAAATCACGCAAGTGTCCTTTACTGTGCAGACAAAAAAAAACAAAAAAAAAACAAATGATTAGTTATGTAGCACAACCTTTCTATGAATCTATAATTGTCCTCACAAGATCTTCCAAAATCTGCATAGATTAACATATTCCTTCAGAACGTTTCATATTGTATTGTTCCTTCTCGCCTTCAATTCTTTCAACTCTAAAACAGAGTCCTTGTATAACATGTATAAACATTGCCACCAAGAATGTACCAACTATGTATCAATAATTTGATCTAATGAATTCTACTTGTTTACCTGACCTAAATTGCCAACAAATATGCACCAAAAAATGCACCAACTTATTAATACATAATAAAACTCTACTTAAACTAATTCATGCTGAAAGGCTGTGACCTCTAAGAAGTCGGATTCTGAGAACTACGATACAAATATAAATTGTAAAAAAACTTTAAGAGATAAGAGTAATAATGTCTTATTTACACTCTATATGCTCTTCAACTTTGT